CATGCCCTTCTGGCTTCTAGTGTTTCTGTTGAGAAGTCAGCTGCTATCTGTATCGGGGCTCCCTTATATGTTACTACCTGTTTCTCCTTTGCTGCCTTTAAGATTCTCTGTTTAAAATTCTTTGATATTTGCCATTTTAATGATCATGTATCTTGGAGTGGACGTCATTGGGTTCCTCTTGAATGGAACCCTCTCTGCTTCCTGGACTTGTGTGACTTTTTTTCTCCTCAAATTAGGGAAGTTTTTCATCATTACTTTTTCAAACAGGTTCTTTATCCCTTGTTCCTCTTCTCATTCTGGTATCCCTATTTTAGGGATATTATTACGTTTCAGGTCGTCCTGCATTTCCCTGAATGCCTCTTCATTCTTTTTTAATTTTTTTCATTGTCTTGTTCTTTCTGGGAGCTTTTTTCTACCTTGTCCTCCAGCTCACTGATTCAATTATCTGCTTCATCTAGCCTGCTTTGGATTCCTTCTACTGTGTTCTTCAATTCAGAAATTGTATTCTTCATTTCCTCTTGCCTCTTATTGATAGTTTCTATATCTTTTTCATGCTGATATAGTTTGCAATATGTTCCTCATAGTTTTCCTGTAGTTGTTTTTAATTCTCTTTGAGTTCACTGAGCTTCCTTAGAACCATTGTTTTGCACTCAATATCTGATAGTTTATTTACCTCTATTTCATTTAGTTCTCTTTGTGTGGATTCCTCTTTTCCTTTGATTAGGGGGTGTTTCTTTGTCTTCCCATTTTTGTGAGACTCTTCTCTTTTGCTTTTGCTTCTTAAATTGTTCTGTCTTGACTTCTTCACTTGCGGTATGAACTCCTATGGTAGGAGATCACTTTTTTTTTTTTTTTTTTTTGCTTTCTTTCTGAATCTTCCTCTGGTGATGTCAGCTATTGACTCCATGTGACCTTAGTCAGTCTTTAAGAGACTTCCAGGAATCTACTGTCTATCTCTGTCTCTTCCAGTTGTTAATATAGTTACTCTGCCCTCAGCAGTCAGGGCCGGGCAGAGTCCCTCCAGTTGGTGGGGCTATTGTGTCCTTTCACGCTGCTCCCACTCATGGGAGTAGTCTGCCTGAGCAAGATGGCAGCTGCAGAATGCAGGTGGTGAGTCAGCACCAGGACCCCGTTGTCCACTTTCTCAGTTCTCTCTCCAAAGCCTTCCTCCCCAGTCTTTCCTTAGGTGGCTCCAACCCACTCTGCCCCCGCCTCCACTGGAGCCCAGGGTAAGCGGCTGCCACTACTAATTTTTGCATTGGCCTTTTAAATTGCTCTTTGTGTCTCCAGTCACCTGTCTCTGGCAGAGAGGACCCTGCTGCTTTTCACAGATGGCTGTTATCTTTGTGCTTTTTGGGCTCCAGTGCTTTTTGGGGTGGGGCTAGAGATCCCCACTTATGGCTTAGACCCTGCTCTTCTCAGGGGGATCCAACTGGCTGTTTCAATATCTCTATGCCTGTGGGCACCTAGTCTACCTTCTCAAGCCTCTATCACAATCCTTACCAGTTAGGTTGTGCCAAAGCTGATTCCTCTGTCTGCCCGAGGTTTTAACGCTCCTCTCTCACTGTTGTTCAGTTGTTTTCCAGGTGATTTCTCTACGATTTAGTTTTATTTCCACATTGGTCCTGGGAGGAGGTCAGTGTGACTTTTACTCACTCCTCTGCCATCTTGAAGTCTCTACTCTTTTTTTTTCTTGGAAAAAAAAAGACTTCAGGATGATGGAAAGAAGGAAGACAGGAAGGAAGGAAGGGGAAGCAAATTGCCTCCTCAGGGCAAAGAAAGAAACTGAAGAAGCTACAAATAAGTAAAAGCACATAATGTGTTCATGAATAGAAGAAAACTTCAGTAAAATGTCCATGCTACCCAAAGCAATCTATAAATTCTATTCAATTCCTATCAAGAATCCAATTATGTATTTCATGGAATTGAACAAACATTTCAAAAATTCATATGGCATCACAAAAGCCCTGCATAGCAATAGCGATCCTGAGAAAGAATAACAAAGTTGGAGGAATCATACTGCATAATATCAAACTATACATAAGGCCATAGCCATCAAATCAGTATGGTACTGGCATAAAAACAAAGATGCAGATCAATGGTATAGAATAGAGAGTCCAGAAATATACTCACACCTTTGTAGTCTATTAATATTTGACAGAGGAAGCAAGCACATACAATGGGCTAAAGATAGTTTATTCAATAAATAGTGTTGGGAAAATTGGACAGATATGTGCAGAAAAATGAAACTAGACCACCTGCTTACACCACACACAAGAATAAATTCACAATGGATTAAAGACTTAAATTTTAGATGCAAAACCATAAAAATCCTAGAAGAAAACATAGGCAGTAATATCTCAGACATTGCTTGTAGCAATGTTTTCTAATATATTTCCTCAGGAAAGGGAAACAAAAGAAAAGATAAACAAATAGTCCTATTGTACATCAAACTAAAAAATTTTGCACAGCAAAGGAAACCATCAACAAAATAAAAAGATAGCCTATGGAATTGGAGAACATATTTGCCAATATATCTGATAAGGGGTTAATACCAAAATTTACAAAGAACTTATAATACCCCAAACCAAAAAACAAACAATCCACTTAAAAAAATGGGCAATGGACATGAATAGACACTTCTCCAAGAAGCACATACAGGTGGCCAATAGACATATAAAAAGATGCTCAACATCACTAATTATCAGAGAAATGCAAATTAAACCCATAATGAGATATCACCTCACACTGGTCAGAATGGCTATCATCAATAAATCAGCAAACAAGAGCTTGAGGATGTGGAGAAAGGAGAACCCTTTTGCACTGTTGGTGGGAATGCATGTTGGCCCAGCCACAGTGGAAAGTAGTATGGAGATAACTCAAAAAATTTAAAGTGATTCTGTCTGTTGACCCAGTGACCCCACTTCTTGGAATATATTTGAAGAAACCCAAAATGCTAATTCAAAAAAACATAAATACCTCTATGTTCATCACAGTGTTATCCACAGTCACCAAGATATGGAAGTAGCCCAAGTGTCCATCAGTAGATGAGTGGATAAAACAATTATGGTACATATACACAGTGGAATACTACTCTGCTGTAAAAAAAAAAAAACTTTTTTACTCGTTGTGACAGCATGGATGGACCCAGAGAACATTATTCTAAGTGACATAAGCCAGTCAGAGAAAAACAAATAACATATGATTTCACTCATATATGGAATCTAATGAACAAACTGAACTAACAAATAGAGACAGACTCATAGATAGAGAGCAGGATGGCAGCTATTGGCAGAGAGGTTGTGGTTAGGGGGTGGAAGTACAGAGCCAAAAGGAAAATGGACTCATGGACATGAACAACAGTGTGGTGATTGTGGGAGGAGGAGTTATAAGGAGAATAAATGATAATGGAAAAAATAAAATAATAAAAAGAAAGCCTTTTCTTCAGTAATTAGCAAAATTTGAGGAAGACTTCCACTGTAGTTAACTTGAAATAGTGGGCTCTTTGACCATTCTAGTCATGTGGATGGAGAATGCCAAGCGAGCTGGGAAAGAGATGAACTTAAAAGATAAGAGGACATGATTTGCTTCAGACTGATGGAAAGTAGAATTTATAATAACTATATAGTTGATTTATATTTTGTTCTTTTAAGAAACCATTACAACTTAACAATACAGGTGTTTTATACTCAAGACTTATGTATCTTACTACTGAAGTAAGAGTGGAGCAAAATAAATTGGGGAGTCCTCAAGTAACAGCATCAGATGAGACAGATGACAGTAGTTTACATTGTAAGAAAGAGTCTAACTTACCTAAGGAAAAGTTGTTCCATGCTCCAATACGGCTCATTAGAATTCTACAGTGGGATTGGGAGCCAAAGATCAGGTAGTTAACAGAGTATTGTTGAATATGGTTTTGTTCTCTAGGGCTACATTTCCCTCAAGAAATACAGGAAGTGGTGTCTTGTTGAAGGTAGATTACGGTCTTTGCATCTCATATTCCAATCATATATTTATTGAGAAATATAAGCACTGCATTTTAACATAACATATATGTAAGAACATACATTGAAACACAAGTAAAATAATGTATAAGATATTTAATGACATGGGGAAATAATACAGCCATATTGCAAAAGAAAAATTGGATTATTAAACTATAAGTAAAGATGATGACAAAACTACATATACATAAAAAGGAAAATACATAGCAAATAACTCAACCATTAAGGCTATTTAAAGAAAAAAATAACATGAGAAAAACACTTGTAATGTTAAATGTAGATACAGTATTATATAATTGGTATTGAACAAAATGTGATTTTTACTTTCCTGAAGATGGATAAAAAAACTAGAAGGGAGTACATAGGAACACTGGCAGTGGTTTCCTTGGAGTGTTACAATTATGGGTGATGGAGTTTGGTGAGAATTTTTGTAAATTTTTTATTGTATTACAGTTGTCCCAATTTTTTCCCCTTTGCTCCCCTCCATTTTCCATGTCCATGAGTTATTCATATCTGTTCTTTGGCTAATCTCTTCACTTTGTTTCAACCAGTCCTCACCGCCCCTTCCCCTCTTACAGATGTCAGTCTGTTCCATCTTTCCTTGTCTCTGGCTCTATTTTGCTCATTAGTTTATTTTGTTCATTAGATTCCTGTTATAAGTGAGATCATATGCTGTTTGTCTTTCACCAACTGACTTATTTCACTTAGCATAATAGCCTCTAGTTCCATCCATACTGTCACAAAAGATACGAATTCTTTTTTTCTGTTGTGTAGTATTGCACTGTGTAAATGTACCACAGCTTTTTAATTCATTCATTTACTGATGGGTACAGAGGCTGTTTCCAACACTTGGCTATTATAAATAGAGCTGCTATGAACATTGGGGTACATAGGTTCTTTTGAATTGGTGTTTCAGGATTCTTTGGGCATATTCCCAGCAGTGGAACCGCTGGATCATAAGGTGGTTCCATTTTTAATTTTTTGAGGAAATTCCATACTGTTTTCCACAGTAGCTGCACCAGCCTACATTCCCACAAATAGTGTACTAGGGTTCTCTTTTCTCCACATCCTCGCCAGCACTTGTTTGTTGGTGAGAGTTTTTAAAATGTGTTTCTGTACTCTTTAAATGTGCATAAATAAATGTGCTTTATGTATGATAATGTAATCACTTCTTAAATGTCTGTGACTCTTAAAAAGTAATGTTTCAGGGTAAATAAGCTGTTAAACATTTTTAGAATTTGACTAACATTAATATAAGAGGCGAATCTGAAGGGCTATCACCTGTAAATAAAATGAGATATGTTCTGTATCAGTTTAGGCAGGACAGTGATCAGCAGGGAATAGAAATAGGATAGATTTTTAACTCAGCGTAAGCAAGAGTTTTCCAATAACATGAGCTGTCCCAGAATGGAATGTGTCCTCTCAAGACGTTTAGTGCTGGACATGGTCAAGCAGTGGCTAGAGGGCTTTTTGTCCTAGGAGTGGGAGGTAGTGAAAGGAGAAAGGTGAGGAAACAGTGGGATCAGATGATCTGTAGTATCCTTTTCACTGCTAACATGTTATCAATTTATCATTCATTCACTCATTTATATGACTTCCAAAAGAGTCCTCAATTATCCTTGCCTGCTGGTGTCCATGCCTTGTTTAATTCCCTCTCACATTGAATGAGCTGATTCATGCAACCAATAAGATATTGTGAAAAGGATGGAGTATGATTTCAGAAGGTAGGCCATAAAAGACATCATGGCTTCTGCTTTCTCTTTCCCGAATTGCTACTGCAGAGTAAGCCAGCTGCCATGTCATGAGGACACTACAGCAGCTCTGCAGAGAGGTCCATGTGAACAAGAACTGAGGACTCCTGCCAACAACCAGCAAAACCTTGTCAGCCATCTAAGCAATTCACCTTGGAGGCAGCTCCTCCAACCCCAGTGAGGCCGTCAGATCACTGCATTCCTTGTCGACAACTTCAGTGCAACTTCATGATAAACCTTAAGTCAGAATGGCTCAGCTAAGCCAGGCCTGACTTCCTTACCCACAAAGCCATTAAGTTTGCCAGTAATTTGCAAGGTAGCATTAGATATCAGTGTAACACATTTTCTACCTGATTTGTTCCACAGCATATTTGACATAATATTCTTTGACTCAGTCATTCTATTGTTAATAAGTGTTTCTCAGGGAGGCAAAATCCCCAGTTGTTACAGATGCATAGTAGCAACCCATTCATTTGGTAGTGTGGTTTAGCTCAACACAGTTTAATGTCTTAACATATTCCAGTAAGAACAGTGACAACCTGGCTTTAGAGTGATTCACCTTATTTCTTTCCTAATGGAAAAGAAGAAAGGTGCTCTTTGTTCTCCTGTGGATTTGGTGTCTATAGCTGTAGCTATAATTGTATCATTTATATTTCTTAGCTTCCAGCCATCAATATGTTCAGAAGAAAGGAATGCTACAAATTGCAATAGAGCATTTTAAAAGGCTTTTTTCACCATTATAGCTCCTAACATGGAGACTTTTTAATCTATGTAAACAAGCCAAAGGCAAAAACAAAAACTCTATAAATTGTTCTAATAAATAGATGACTAAATCCTATGTTTTAACATCTGAAAGTTATGAGATATTCTGGGTAAGCTTGATAATCAAAGAATACCACAAATATCTTTGGATGTTGTATATCATCTGTGACAGAGTCAAACAGGTCTGTGGATTTATAAGGGTTCTTTGATGGAGGGCTAATTAATCTTTCATGCCCACGTGTGTAGACTCCTGTAAGTACTCGTACAACATAAATATGCTTCCTCCCATTGCCGTCTGGTCTGGAGTATGTATCATTAGCAGAATAACTGGCATCAACAGCAAAATAGGTTCCTTTTCCATAGGCTATAGCTGTAAAGAGAAAGACAAAAGCCTTCTTAAGAACATAAAATTATCCCAGCATGTAGAACCATGCTCAAACTTGACAAATAAAATTTTAATGCAGTTGTTGGCCACCAAAGCCACTCTTCATCATTTCTAAATTTCACTCCATCTGTCCTCAGAAGGTTGCCAGTCTCCTTTTGGGTGAAACAGAATAAGCTGTATCCTGACAATGACAACATGACTGCCATCTACTGCTACACTGCTTGGGTATGAATAGTCAACACGAGAACTTCCATTCACCTCATTCTGATCAGTCAGATTACTTGCTTTCTTACCATTCTTCCCAGCATAACTGCGATTGAAGCCATGCTGATTGATGTGTGGCACTGAGTCTGCATCTGTCCCGTGGAAGAGGATTCTCTCATTATCCATATGGCCATTCTTCATGTCCATGTGCTTTTTCTTTATCTGGTAGCTCTGCCAAAGAAATGCATTCTGTATCCTCTCAATCTGTAAATGACAAAGAGCAAACCATTTTGGAAATTACCTTAGAGCTCAGAATACTGTTTATTGTGGCCTTTAAGCAATATGGAGAAGGAGAAAAAAAATACAAATAGCAAATTTAGAGTAGGTAATGACAAGAGGAAAAGTTCTGAGGTGTTCTAAACTGAATTACAGTGGGCTGGAGAGTGAGAGAAAGACAGTACAGCTAACAAGATTGCTCACATTCCTGAGTGTATGTTGGAACTGTGAATTAACTTCCAGGTGGCTATTTCTGAGATTATCTAAAAGAGAGAATAGCCAGACATCATCAGAGCCCAGAAGCCTCTGCTTCTTGTTTATACATGAACTTTCCAGATTGTTGCCCACCTGAATTTCCGAAGAGAGCTAACACTCCTTCCTTACAGACTCTGCACCTACCCCAGAATTAGCCCTGTTTCACCTTCTTTATCTACAGCCAAGGTAAACTCTTTCAAAGAACTTACATCTTCCTCCTATTTCTTGATGTATAAAAATGCTGGCCAACTCCAGGAGAGTGGTCATTTTGTCTTTCCCACCTGGCACTGCTGCTGGAGTTTTAGGCTTCATGCCCCAGGTCCTGGTCTTTTTTTCTTGCTAGCAATGGCCCAATAAACCCTTTCTTTTAAAAAGATTTTCAGCTATGGAAGTTAAAAATTTTGTTTAACAGTAATTTTCTGCCTTCAGAAAAAAGATAAGCTATCTGTATATTGTAAGTGCTTATTATTATTTTACATAAGAGTTTAAAATTATATAAAAATGTTTACTCATATATATTCCCTGGAATTCCTGGAGATTTATTGACACTCAAATTCCAACTAAAAAAATTTGTAATCATTTAATAATTATTTCCTTAAATCCTTCTGGTCTCCCAATCATAGTTCTTTCTGCATTGCTCCAGTTATAGTCACAAATCACCTCATTACACCTTAATTTAATGACTACTTCTTTCCAGAAATCTCAATAGCATTTCAAACCAGAAACCATACCTCCTTGAAACTTTGTCTTTCTTTAACTTTTTTCAGAAAATCATTCTTTAGAAAATGAATTTAACATACATTTACTAATCGTCTATTAAACACCTAGTATGAATCAAGCAATGTGTTGGGTCTCTGCCCTCAAGACTCTCAATGTAGTTGGGAGGAAAGATGAGAAAACAAATCACTACCCTCATAGTGATAAGGGATGGGTTAGGAGAGCATACAGGGAATATGAAAGCATCAGAAAGAGATCCAGATAACCTATGTCTAGAGAGAGAGGACATCTGAGCAATGACGTTCTAGTAGAAAAGGTAGAAGATAGGTTGAAGAAGGTTGAAGTGGAAAGAAGTGGATGGCTGTAGCAGACAGTGAGGAGAAGCAAAATGATAAAAGCAGTACGGAAAGTTGTTTTTCTGAGAGTGATGGAGGCCTCAAGGAGTGTAATGAACATTTGGAGTAGGGAATGCATGAGGGAGGTGACTGAATGAAATAAGGAAGGATTCTAGGTACCTGGAGGGTCCAGCTGAAGTTGGAGACCATAAATTAGTAATGATTTTATCTAATAGCCACAGGAGAGAAGGTAGGTTATGGAATTAATCCAAAGTTGGGGTTTTTCTAAATGGGTATGATAGGACAGGAGCCAAGGGTGTTGAAGATATTGGGTGAACACAGTTGAAGTGAGGTTCCAGTACTCTCAACAGCTTTTAACATAATGATGCAACTCCTCCTTTAAATCCTGTGCTTTCCACAGAGTCTCTTCAGATTCTTCTTTCCCATGAATTTTCATTCCTTTCTTCAATAGGTATCACGTCCTACAATACACTAAGTACTAGGAATGTAGAGATGAGTAGGAGGTGATTCCTACCTTAAGAAGTCCACTGTCATCCTGGACAGCATGGCTCATTTGGAGCATCATCTCAAAGATCAAAAGATTGAGGGTTCATTTCCCGTTCAGGGAACATATCCAGGTTGCAGGTTCAATCCCCAGTTGGGGTGCTTATGAGAAGGCAACCCATCCATGTTTTTCTCTCACACTGATGTTTCCCCCTCTCCCCGTTCCTCTCTATCTAAAAGCAATTTTAAAATGTCTTATAGTGAGGATAAAAAAAAGAAGTACACTGTCAAATAGGTGAGTCAGGCATGTGAAAGTTTATTAAAGCACCATTTCAAAAGTTCTCTAATATAGTTAAGTACACAGATTTATGGAAGAATCAGCTAGATTTTAAATTACTAGAATGCCACACCCTGCTCTGATATCTATGGTATGATAAGAATTTTCTAACAAACTGCTATACTTTATTGGCTAATATTTTTATACAGCATAGTGGATGGACAATGTGGAATCTCTGAACATGCATTCCACCTCATCCCCATTGTGGAGCAAATTCTGGTTTGGGTGGAGCTGGCCCTCTTTATGGTCCTAGGATGGAGACTGATTGGATTAAGAAAATCACATGATGGGATACAATAGCCCAGGTCCAAGCCAATCAGCATATAGCACTCCCCCAACACAAACTGGTTGGAGTAGTCCACTCAATACAAAGCCTGGAACTCTTACCTATTAATTCTTCTGCAGAATGCGAAGGGGTAGGGGAAGCTGAGATTCTCTGACTGCAACCAGATTGCAGTCATTCTATAATCACAAGGCAGTCCAGCCTTCAAATGAAGCTGACATTGTGCACAACAAATCCAGAGAATCTGGATCCACAGCATCATCGTCACTGGATCAAACTGCTCCAAACACCATCCTACTCCTGAACTTTCCATTAAATTACAATACATTTCTTCTTTTTAATCAGTTTCACTGGGTTTATGAATTGTAAGTATAAGTATCCAAACATACACATGTGACTTTGGGGAGTCTCCTTCATTATTGCTAATGAATAAATCATGAGATTTGAAGTCTATGGGTCTTGAGCTAGTCTAATTAAAATAAATATAGTAAGGTATAGACTCCTGGCCAAGATGGAGGTGTAGGTAGATACACTTTGCCTCCTCGCACAACCAAAAGAAGGACAACTACAAATTCTAAAGCAAAAAATAACCAGAACTGCCAGAAAATCGAACTGTATAAAAGTCCAACAACCAAGGAGTTAAAAAAGAAACATTCATCCAGACCAGTAGGAGGGGTAGAGATGGGCAGCTGGGGCAGAGAGGATGAGTGGCAAGGTGCGGCTGGAAGACCAGGTGGGTGAGATGGCAGCTGGCAGTCCCACATTTGCGTGCAGATAAACCTGGAGGAACAGCTGGTGAGTAAGACAGACTGTGCAATCCAGGGTTCCAGTGCAGGAAAAGAAAGCCTCAAAACCTCTGGCTGTAAAAACCCGTGAGGGATGCAGCAGTGGGAGAAACTCCCAGCCTCACAGGAGAATTCATTGGAGAGACCCACAGGGTCCTAGAAAGTACGCAAACCCACTCACCCAGGAATCAGCACCAGAAGGGCCCAATTTGCTTGTGAGTAGTGGGGGAAGTGACTGAAAGCCAGCCGAGAGCTGAACAAGCAGCATTGTTCCTTCTCGGATCCCTCCCCCTTAGACAGCATCACAACGCAGTAATCTGGGTTGCCCCACCCTGGTGAATACCTAAGGCTCCACCCCTTCCAATATAACAGGCACACAGAGACAAAGAAATATGGCCCAAATGAAAGAACAATTCAAAGCTCCAAAAATAGAATTAAGCAATGAACAGATAGCCAACCTATCAGGTGCACAGTTCAAAACACTGGTAATCTGGATGCTTACAGTACTGGTTGAGTATGGTTGCACAATGGAGAAAAGAGTGAAGGCTATACAAAGTGAAAAAAAGAAAAATATAGAGGTAACCAACAGTAAACAGAAGGAAAGCAGGATTCAAATCAATGATTTGGAGCAGAAGGAAGACACAAACATTCAACCAGAACAGAATGAAGAAACAAGAATTCAAAAAAAATGAGGAGAGGCTTAGGAACCTCTGGGACAACTTTAAATGTTCCGCCATCCAAATCATAGAAGTGCCAGAAGGAGAAGAGGAAGAGCAAGAAATTGAAAACTTACTTGAAAAAATAATGAAGGAGAACTTCCCCACTCTGGCCAAGGAAATAGACTTCCAGGAGATCCAGGAAGCTCAGAGAGTCCCAAAGAAGTTGGAACCAAGGAAGCACACACCAGGGCACATCGTAATAACATTACCCAAGATTAAAGGTAAGGAGAGAATCTTAAAAGCAGCAAGAGAAAAGGAGACAGTTACGTACAAAGGAGTCCCCATAAGACTATCAGCTGATTTCTCCAAAGAAACCTTTCAGGCACGAAGGGGCTGTAAAGAAGTATTGAAGTCATGAAAAGCAAGGACCTACATCCAAGATGACTCTATCCAGCAAAGCTGTCATTTAGAATGGAAGGACAGATAAAGTGCTTCCCCGGTAAGGTCAAGTTAAAGGAGTTCATCATCACCAAGCCCTTATTCTATGAAATGTTAAAGGGACTTCTCTAAGAAAAAGAAGATCAAAAACTATGAACAGTAAAGTGACAACAAACTCACAACTATCAACAACTGAGCCTACAAAAACAAAAATAGAAACAAACTAAGCAAACAACTAGAACAGGAACAGAATCACAGAAATGGAGATCAGAGGGCAGGGGAAAGGGGAGAAGAGGAGAATAGGTACAGGGAATAAGAAGCATAAATGGTAGGTACAAAATAGACAGGGGGAGGTTAAGAATAGTATAGAAAATGGAGAAGCCAAAGAACTTATATGTACGACCCATGGACATGAACTAAGGGCTGGGTAGAGTGCTGATGGGAGGGGGGTGCAGGGTGGAGAGGAATAAAGAGGATAAAAATGTGGGACAACTGTAAAAGCATAATCAATAATATATATTTTAAAAAATAAAATAGATATAGTAAGGTATAAAATAAGAGTGTTATATAAAAATATAGCTTTCTTGTTAGTTATTCAATATTTAAAAGAAGTAATTTTTAAATTGTTATTACCTTCTCTATTCTGTAGGAAAGACAAGTCTGAGACAACTTGTTCTTCACAGTGTCATATTCTGACTGTCCGGGTTGTAGCTGGATCACACAAAACTGCTGCTGATTCATGTCAGTCCAGGTTTCAGGAATATTACCTGGGAAGTTAGCATTTAGTGAAAACATGACATCCGTTACCAGTGATCTCTGAAAATCAAGGCATTTCCTGATGTTCTTTTTCTCATTCATTTAATCCTGGTCTTTGAGGGGGTGAGGGTGGAGGAGCTACATATTTTACTGTCCTGACTTTGATAATCACAGATGAAGTGAACAGTTCTGACACTAATACGACATAGGTTAATTAATGGTTTGGATAAAATATTTAGATAAACTTAGATTTATTATTGCTTGAAATTATAATTTTCCCAGAAAGTTCTATGGAATTAATTCCATAAGAGACTGATATGCAGACATGAAAGCTAATTTACTGATGTTTTCACTTTTATCAGTTTTATTTAGTGTGGTTCTTTATTATTCTTTTACAACATGATTACTCTGCTAAAGATATTTAGCATCTTCCCATCTGTATCCCATCTTCCATGCTAAGTAAACACTACATAAAGAAAATAATGTAAGTGCTAAGTCAATGCTTTCCTATAAAGTGATGATACTCCAAGTTTTTCTTTGCTTTCCAGTGGCTTCCAGAAACTTTAAACACCGAGGCTACACATCAACTTCCTGAGATAGTGTGACTAGTAAAAATTGTGTTAGAGACAGATTGTATTAGGGAAGAAAATGCCGCGAGATCACAGATGAAAATCAAAGGATTTACCCACTTTTAGCGAAGGATATACCAGACCTGAGAAAGGGATGCAGGACATTCCCTTTGTGTTTAGCAAGTCCATTCAGGGAATGAAATTCTAGTGACAAAGGCAAGCGTCTAACCCTAATCTGGAAGGTCTTTTCAAATTCCATTTTTGAAGCGTCTTTCTAGAGAAGTTTCCCATGGTAGGGTGTGTAGTTTCTGCAAATGGTATTTTCTTTTCCCCACTGACAACCACTTCCAGATCTCTTGCCCTAATCATTTCTAGTCCTAGGCATTCGAGTCCTCTTGGCCTTGCTCCTTCCTTTTTCTGAATGCAGCAGACAAGACTGGAAAGCAAGTGAAGTGTTTGTTTCTTTGGGCCCTCTCTTTCTTTCATGCCAAGAGTTTGCAGAGAAAAAAACTACCAGCACTTGGAGTCAGACGACCTGATAAGCCTCAACCTGTGACCAGCCATGGAGTCTTCATTTTCTCACCCACAAGCTGGAAATAAGATCTGCTCTCTTCACCACCTCATGGGATTGTTACAAGTTTAAAATATAAGAGCCGTTGAAGCACTTTAAGGAATGCCAAGTCCTGTATAAACACATGGTTATTATTCTTAAAAAAATATGATTAGGCTTGATCTTTTCTACATCCCAGAGGTACATATACTTAAAAGAGGAGTAAAGTGTAAAGCCAAGGGTATTTTCTTGAGAGAAAGGACTTTTAAATCATACCGTTAAGCCCCACCAAACTGTGTTACCTACTTTGCCTGTGAACAGAAGGTGTCTCTCATTATGCAATTTAAGGATAAGAAAATTGAGTCCCAGGAAAGCCAAATGAATACTCAAACATTTAATATTATATGGAAGGCCACCATTAAAATAAGGAATGGAATCGTGTTCTATTGTCATGCAGCCCAGAGCTTCATAAAAAAATAACAAAATAGCCACCTTTCTTTAAGAGTTTACTTGGCACTTTCTTGAGCACTTTTCCTGTAAACCTCTTTAAAAGATAAATGTCCCTGTCCTTTCCCATTCCTGGTGTTGAAGGTAAATGCCCTCACATCCCTCCTTGCACACTGCCCCTGTCTCCTCGTCACATGCAGAGGTGGGATTAAACACCAAGAATCCCGGCTCTGCCTTGTTTTCACTCTCTTCACCCTTCATACTCTCCACAGATAATCCAATCCACGCTCAACTCCCACCTTCTTACATGCCTCCCAAATGTATATCTCTAGTGTCTGATATCCAGTGGGTGCTCCATAAGTGCCCTCTGAACCAATAGATAGCTTTAACATACATTGGAAAAGTAATTGTGTATTATCTGCTCAAATGAAACTCAAAGCTATCCCCTTTTCTTTCAAAGAAGTCCATATGATAAATTCTGACAAAAACGGAAGTTTATCTTTGCCAACGAAGTTCCTTTTTATCAGACATTTTATCTGTATTATTCCTATTATTCAACAACAAAGATTATGTAGAGTAGTTTTGTTATTGTTTGTTTTTACCTCAAGTACAATATGGCCACTTGCCTGCTTATTTCAGTCATTTTTTGTTTCCTTCTCCAAAGTTTCTGTTTTATTATATAAACTTTGTAAGGCAACCTAAATTCTTGGTGAACAAGTTTAACTTTAGTTTTTACTTTACTAATAATGACTTATTGCCCTTATATCTAAATAAAAATTTTCCTCTACAAAGACCAAGGTAAAAAAAGTTCATTTATATATCCTTAGATACTATAGTAGATATGCATTTTTAACTCTCTGGCACCCTTTTTCCCATTTTCTGGTGAAAATAACCTGAATTTACTTAGGAGGACAACTCCATTGCTTCAGAGAGTGATCCCCTCCAATCCAAGTATAGAGCATTTGACTCTGGCTTGGCCAACCAGTGTAATTCTGCAAAGATCAGAATTTCTGGTCCAGTCAGAAGGAAGCTCAGACCTTATAATGGCACTTTTATTCCCAGGCATCATGCTTCTGATAAGATATATTGCCTGGATACTCCCTGTCCTGTTGGAATGGAGAGTACAAGGATATGGACCTGAAACTGCGTGCCACCATCTCTCGCCATGTGAAGCCTTATAATAGAGACAGCACAGCTGAGAAGAGAATGAGAGATGAAGAAAGCCAGAGTCCAGGTGATATCATATGAGCACCTGGATCAAACTGGACATGAAGCCAAGTATGTCTGGACTTTACAGACATATGAGTCCATTAACTCTAATTTTTTGCTAATGGTAGTTTAAATTGGATTTTCTGTTACTTGCAACTGTAAGAGCCTTAACAGATCCAACTACTATTTTTATTCATTGTGTGTGTGTGCATGGAGGTCTTACATGTACTGTGTGTTGCAGCACATTGAGGAGAATAGTTGTCAGGAAATAAGTGTAAGGAGAAATGAAACTCCTGCTGGCAGACAACAATTTTCAACGTAGGAAGGCATCTGGTGACAAGTATGTCTCATTACCAGTAAAACCCACAGTGCTTTCCAGTAAGTGCTCAAAATGGGTAAAAACAGTGATTGCAAGAGGAAGCTGCACTTCAAGTTCTTTTAACAGCAGTACAGAAGTCATAACATGGGAGAAAGCTAGATGAGAGGAGCAGGTTGGTACAGATACTTTCACACCAGATATCTCCTGACATCTGCTCCTGATGTAATGCAACCAGGTGACCTTGGCCACCCTTTTCTTGCATCTGTTTCTGTTCTCAGCCTAACTTATCTAGAGGCGGATGATCAATAAACCAGCATTGACCAGTTAGTTGCTGGCTATAAGGGGCACTGAGTGTCAATAACAATCAATAAGGGGGAAAAACGATATCATTGGCTTGGATTTTCAAAATCTATCCCCCTCTTTCTGCTTTCTCACCATGTCTCTCTTCTTTCTGTTCATTGGTTATTTTTGCTTTCCAGGCATGATTTTGTCCCGCAGAAGAACAATCAGTTGACAGGAGATTTTGTCCCATAGTTTTTATACTTTTCCCATATATTATAGGAGGCTGTCTGGAAAGTCCTGAAACTAATAGAAACAGTGAGCATTCACATCTAAACATTTTCTAATATCAGAGGTAACCGTATGATTTTTAAAAGAACATCTTACATGCAGCCTTGAGGAATGTGGACTGAAAGGTGGGTGATGTGATTATTTCTCTTTTCTTCATGCTGTCATAGAATATATTTAGCAGCTTAGTTAAAAAGACAACAACTTTAACTTTTTTTAATGATGGGGTAGGATGTTTCCATGTGAAGTCTACAATAGCAATGATTATGTCATCAGCAACTCTGATTGGGTCTTTCCCAGCATTTCCTAAAAAAAAAAAAAAATGTTTTAGGTGACAAAAAGTTTCAGCTGGTGTTGGCCATGTGGCTAGATTTGGCAAATGCAGTTCTTGGTGCTGAGAGAGGAAAGCAGCACCTGAAAGCCAGGAACTGACCTGGCACTTACAGCTAGATCTTGGTATTCTCTAGCTGAATACAAACAGTTTCACAGAACACCATCAAATGTAACCACTCTGTAACTGATAAATTAAGCCAAAACTAGACCACTGCATAATCATGTCTGACCACAGACAAAAATATGAACACTTCCCATACCACATAATGGCTAAGCATCCCCCATCTTGACTAATATGAGCAATAGTTGCTTCATTACCAATCATCGCTTTTGCTACACTCTTCTCTTCTTCTACATAAGATACCCAATCATAGAATTACATCTGCTTCCTGCAAGTATCCAATCCAGAGCTCAGCCCAACTTGCTTGTGACTGCCATAAAATCACCTAACACAAGCTCAAGTCTGTAAGTCCTTTCTAACAACCTTTTGCTAAGATGCTGTGTGGTTCCCCATAGTGTGTGTTCCGAGTGGTTTTTAGCTGAAGGGCATTGGAAGTGCAAGAAAAGAACATGTGATTTGGGTGCAGGAGATCTGGCTTTATGTCCTGGTTCTCCATTGATTAGCTGCATGATCTTGGATAAGTCACTTGATCTCTCTCATATTACTTTGCTAGGGCTGCCAGAACAAAGGGCTGTGGACTGGTGGCTTAAGCAATGGAAACTCATTTTCTTAAAAATTCTGGAGGCTAATAATCTGAGATCAAGGTGTTGGAAAGATTAGTTTCTTCTGAGACCTCTCTTCTAGTAAGCAGACAGCTGTCTTCTCTCTGTGTCTTCACTTGGCCTTCCCTCTGTATCTATCGGAGTCCTAATCTCCTCTTTCAACAAGGACACCAGTTATGTTGGATTAGGAACTACTCTGATCACCTCATTTTAACTTCCTTGACTCTTCAAAGGCTGTATCTCCAAATACAGTCACATTCTGAAGTTCTAGAAGTTAAGACTTCAACATATGAATTTTAGGGGACACAACTCAGCCCACAACACCTCTAGACTTCAGGTTACTCAGCTATAAAATTGGAGTGATTATAGAAGGTAATAGATAATAGGGATAAGAATATGGTAGCTAAGAATATAGTAATCAATAGCATAATGGTAAAAATAAAACACACAATGTAAAAAAAAAAGGTAATAGTTGGAATGTATAGGCCAGGCTGCCTGAGTTTGAACCTAGTTATGCTGCTTACTAGCTGACCTTGTGTTTTAATACCTTAGGTTCTTGTCTACAAACTGGGAAAAGTAATAGTCAAGGCTGGGTCCAGATTTTGTAGGGTTTGAAATTTATACATCTCAGAAAAAGATTATAAAATTATGATGAAAGTGAATATTTCAAATCAAAAAGAGAAACCACAACAAAGTATAAATTTTTAAATGCTGAAAATCATATTTCCAAGTGAACTCGTTTTAGCTGTGTTCCAGAAATGTTTGCAGCCACTCCAACACCCAAGTGCCAGGGAACTGAGAAGTCAAAGTAGGAAGAAACCCCCATGGGGTCAAAACATGTCATATTTGAAGTTTTACTAAATCATTTAACCATGTAAAGGCATTAGTAGGGCCTTTCGGTGGGCTTTTAAAAAAGCCTGTGCAATTGGGTGTGAATGAATCAGGGAGTGGGTTATTAACATCATTTTCAACTTAGAGTGAATGAGTGTATGATATGATGGAGATGATGAGGAAAGTGTTCCCAGAAACTGTGAGCAGAATGAACCTGAGCTTGCTGGCTAATCATAGTGACTGCATCTTACTCATGATTCTATCCCCAGTGCCTTGCACAGGGCTGGGTAACCACATTTCAGTCTAATGAATGCACAAATGAGGAGCCAGTTGGGAGACACTGCAGTAAACCAGGTAGAAGAGGTCTTAAGGGTTTGGAAACTAAAAGGGAGGCTGAAACTGAACAACACCCTGGAAGAGGATTTGATAGGACGTGCTGACTCTGGGGGTCTGGGACACGAAGAAGCAAGAGGGGCAGGATAGCTGGCAGCGTCAGGGCACCACTGAAGGAGGAAATTAAAAACCAAGACAACTCAAGGGATAATGATGAGTTTGGATTATGATATAATTAGGTTTCTGGTGACAGAGAAGTCTCTCAGAGGAGATCCTGGAGAAGGCTAGAAATGCTGAGTTGGGAGTCAGTGCAGAAATGGTAATTGATATAATGAGAACAAATGAATCCCCCAAAGGCGGGGGCGGGGGGAAGAACAGTGAGAAAACCATGAAGTTGAGAACAGTGAGAAAACCATGGAAAGATACTTAGGAACCTAAAATAAAGAAAAAGATGGATGAAAGAGGCAAAGGCCCCGTGGATGGCCCTGAAACAGTCGGAAAGGTTGCCCACTCCCTGATTTACCTCACTCTCAGTTCTGGACTCAGAACTTTCTGGAGTTCACTAAGAGTGAGACTAAGTGAATCTGGATTATTTCAAATCTTTGAGTAATGGGAGGCTGCAGACCTGTTCCGATGGCAGGAAGGGAAACAGATATGTGCTTCCTCTGTTCACACTCTTCTAGAACACTGGAAACAGTTTTCCTGACATCATTTTCCCCAAGAACATGAATTATTCTTTTGCACATTAAGTGTCCACCTTGTGTAACTATAAAATCTCTGTGAGGCTGTGTCGCTGGAAGAAAAAAGGAAGAAGAGGAAAAACACGCAGCACATTACTTACGGGAAGCAACACTGATTACTGAGAAATGAAAATAGCTGACATCAAAAAAAGCTGTGACGATTCCTGACCAAGTCCAGCCTCCCTCCGTCTCATTGGTTTCACGCACTGTGGCAGGCTCATTTCCTTCACAATCCGGATTCCACATGGTTGAATATTTTGGTTGCTCTTCAAACAGCAGTGTATCCAGTTAGGTAATCCCTAAACACCAAGCCAGCTCTGGTCTGTATACTTATTTCCTTGATCTTTCTACCTAAGGTCAGATATGCAACTGCAGCCAATCATACACTATTTCAACAGTTACACCTCTAACTCTATAAAACTCACTCTTGCCCACAATCCCTCAGAAATAGTGCTAGCTGCACTGCTAGTGAGGCACTGTACTACCCCACCCATGGGTTGTTTTCCCTTAAATAAAGGACCTCAAACACATTACTAAATTGTTTTAGTTTGTCATTTGACACATTTTTTTCATTTGGCTGTTTTTCAGTTGTATCCTTTATAACACACTGGTAAATATAAGAAAAATGTTTTTACTGAGTTCTTGTGAGTTGCTCTAGAAAATCGTTGAACCTGAGTATGAGTTATTGGGAGCCTCTGAATTTACAGCCAGCCACCAGAAGAACACGTAGCCCATGAGACTGAAAACTGGTGTTGAAGTGGGGGCCGTCTTGTAGAACTAAGACCTTTAACTTGTGGGGCCTGGCGCTAACTCCAGGTAGATAGTGTCAGAGTTGGAGGATTGGTTAGTGTCAGACCCACACAGACCCCAGCATCCTTCATAAAAGGAGAAGTCAGCTACATGGTGTGCTATTATGGAGTAGAACAAGATTGGGGAAAGTAAAAGGTAATTTGTACTGCACTTTACAGCTTACAAAACTTTTTTTTACATTCATTGTTCCTTCTCATCCTCACAACCAAGTGTGGGACAGCCATTCCATACTCCTCATATGTAGAACCATCTTACGGGTGAGAGAAGCAAAGTTCTTAGAGGTTGAATGACGTGCCCCAGATCCCTCAGTATGTGGTGGAGCCTAGATGATTAGGACCCAGGAATGGGTTCTTTTTAATTCTCAGGAAGAGACAGATGGGATGGTGGGATAAAGAACCTCTCCCCCACTGCCACCACAACATATACCACCTGTGTCTGCTTTCCCAATGGACCGACCTTCTTCGAGAGTGTTCACCACTTACTCCCCCATGGATCCTCTTATAGTATTCTCAGCCCTCTAATTTTCAATAGGTGGTAGGCAAAAGAAACATGTGACCATACCTAATATAGCACATTCATCTTCCACAGCTTGTCCAGCACCTTCTAAAATTGCTTTTGACACACCTACAGAAGACATTAATGATATAAAGTATCTGTTAAAATTCAATAAGTGGTTATAGCTTTTGTACATTAGACTTCTGTTCAGCTTACCCTTTGCATAATCCAATGATGCCACCTCGCTCAAAAATCACTTTTTCTATAGCAACCTTTATTTAATGGCTAAGGAATAAGCAATCTGATCCACAGCATGATGGCACTGCCCAATGGCTGAAAGTCTCCAGTGCCTGCAACTATATCATCTCTATTTGTACTGGGATATTTTTGCAGTTAAGTTTTCTTTTTCAATTCTATGCTTATTATTTTACAAAATTGAATAAAAAATATAAAAATAAAAACTTCTGATACAAATGAGAAACATGGATCTCAAAACTACAATAAAACAGCATTTTACTTAAGTTCTTTGATTTTTGTTATTAATTTGGTTTGGTTTGATTTTTCACAATTAGAGAGATAGCTGGCTGGCTTCAGTCCAGTGACTCTTCCCCTCAGGACTGTGGCTTCACCACTCTGCTCATGTCTAATGACAGCTGGTTTGGGTGGTTGAAAACATGGACTTTGCATTTTGACACACACTGGGTCAGAGTTGACTTCACCACTTACTACTAATATATGACTAGTCAGTTCCTCATCTGTTACACAAAGGCTATCATAGTATTTTTCTTACAGAATTGTTTGAACATTACAAGAGATAATGGATAGAAAATCGTTAGCACAGAACCTAGCACAGAGAAAGTATTGAATAAATGTTAGTTATTTTATCTTCATAAAGAGAAATTATCTCTCTAATCTAAATATCATCTACCTATCATCTACCTACCTACCTATATCTCCTTGATTATGCATGTGTAATGAATTGTCTCTTTTTTAAAAAACTCCTTTGACTTCAAAAAAGATATAGACAGCAACACACTCCACTGTCAAAAATAGACAGATCTTCCAAACAAAACGTCAACAAGGATATTGTGGAACTGAATGATGCATTAGATCAAATGGACTTAACTTACATATATAGAACCTTTCATCCCCAAAAAGCAAAATACACATTCTTTTCAAATGTGCATGGAACTTTTTCAAAGATAGACCACATGATAGGACATAAAGCAAGCCTCAACAAATTCAGGAAAATAGAAATAATAACAAGCATTTCCTCAGACCACAAGGGCTTGAAACTGGAAACCAACCTCAAGGAGAAACCTCAAAAACTTGCAAACTCATGGAGACTGAACAGCACACTATTAAACAATGAATGGGTCAATAATGAGATAAGAGGAGAAATCAAAAAGTTTCTGGAAACAAATCAAAATGAACATACAACAGTCCAAAACCATGGGACACAGCAAAGGCAGTTCTGAGAGGGAAGTTCATAGCAATACAGGCCTACCTAAAAAAGATAGAAACATTTCAAATAAATGAAATGACCTAACCCTACAACTTGCAGAACTGGAGAAGCAACAAATAAATCCCAGAGCAAGTAAAAGGAAGGAAATAATCAAGATCAGAGCAGAACTGAATGACATAGAGACTAAAAGAACAATTCAAACGGTCAACCAATCCAGGAGCTGGTTCTTTGAAAAGATAAATAAATCAACAAGCCTTTAAGCAGACTCATCAAGAAAAAAAGGAGAGGACCCCAATTAATAATATCAGAAATGAAAGAGAAGAAATAACAACTGATACCACAGAAATACAAAGGATTGCGAGAAATTATACGAACAATTATATGCCAAGAAATTTGAAAATCTTGATGAAATGGACAAATTTCTAGAAAAGTATAATCTTCCAACACTGAATGAAGAAAAAGCAGAAAGCTTGAACAGACCGATAACAGCTGGGGAAATTGAAGCAGTAATCAAGAAACTCCCGGCACACAAAACTCCTGTCCCTGGGCCAGACGGTTTCACAGGAGAATTTTACAAAACATTTAAGGAAGAGCTAACTCCTGTCCTTCTCAGATCATTCAAAAAAATCCAAGATGAAGGAAGACTCCCAAATGGTTTTATGAGGCCAGCAACATCCTAATCCCTAAACCAGATAAAGACCCTACAAAGAAAGAAAACTACAAGCTAATATTGCTGATGGACATAGGCACTAAAATCCTCAACAAAATATTGGCAAACTGCATCCAGCAATACCTTAAAAAGATCATCTACCATGATCAAGTGGGATTCATCCCAGGGATGCAAGGATGGTTCAATATTCGCAAATCAATAAACGTAATACATCACATAAACAAAAGGAAAGACAAAACCCACATGATCATCTCAATAGACGCAGAATAAGCATTCGATAAGGTACAGCACCCATTCATGATAAAAGCACTCAGCAAAATGGAAATAAAGGGGGCATACCTCAACATAATAAAGGCCATATATGAAAAACCTACAGCCAACATCATACTCAATGGGCAAAAATTAAAAGCTTTCCCACTAAGATCAGGAACAAGACAAGGATGTCCGCTTTCACCCCTTCTATTCAACATAGTATTGGAAGCCCTAGCCACAGTAGTCAGACAAGAAAGAGAAATAAAAGGCATCCAAATTGGAAAGGAGGAAGTAAAACTATCATTGTTTGCAGATGACATGATGATGTACATAGAAAACCCTGTAGACTCCACCAAAAAACTACTCGACCTAATAAGTGAACTTGGCAAAACAGCAGGATACAAATATTAAAAAAATCAAAGGCACTTTTGTACATTAGCAATGAAATAGAAGAAGAAGAAATCAGAAAAATATCCTCTTTGCTATAGCAACAAGAAAAATAAAGTAGCTAGGAATAAATTTAACCAAGGAGGTAAAAGACCTGTATGCAGAAAACTATACAACACTGAAGAAAGAAATTAAGGAAGACACAAATAAATGGATGCATATATCATGTCCATGGATTGGAAGAATTAATATCATCAAAATGTCCATACTACCCAAAGCAGTTTATAGATTCAAAGCAATCCTTATTAAAATACCAATGACATATTTCACAGAAATAGAACAGACATTTCAAAAATGTATATGGAACCATAAATGATCCCAAATAGCCGCAGCAATTTTAAGAAAGAAAAACAAGGTAGGAAGGATCACAATACCGGATATCAGACTATATTACAAGGCCACTATAATCAACACAATCTGGTACTGGCACAAGAACACACACATACACCAGTGGAACAGAATAGAAAGCCCAGAAATAAGCTCATGTCTATATGGTCAATTAATATTTGACAAAGGGGGCAGGAAATCATAAATTGGAGCAAAAATAGCCTCTTCAACAAATAGTGTTGGGAAATCTGGACAGGAAAAAATGAAATTTGATCACCAGCTGACACCATACACAAAAATAAACTCAAGATGGATAAAGACTTAAATATAAGTCACAACACCATAAAAGTCCTAGAAGAGAACATAGGCAGGAAACTCTCAGATATCCCACATAGCAATATTTTCACCAATATGTCCCCAAAAGCAAGGGACATAAAGGAAAGAATAAAGAAGTGGGATCTCATCAAAATAAGAAGCTTCTGCATGGCTAAAGAAAACATCAGCAAAATGGAAAGGGAGCTAACTGTATGGGAAAATATATTTGCCAATGACACATCAGATAGAGGTTTGATCTCCAAAATATATAAAGAACTCACGCAACTCCACTCCAAGAAGACAAATGATCCTATTAAAAAATGGGCAAAGGGCCTGGGCAGTCACTTTTCCAAGGAAGAGATACAGAGGGTCCAGAGATATATGAAAGGATGTGCAACATCACTAGCCATCAGAGAGATGTAAACTAAAACCACAGTGAGATACCATTTCACACCGGTCAGAATGGCCATCATAAACAGATCAACAAACAACAGGTGCTTGTGAGGCTGTGGAGAAAAGGGAACCCTAGTACCCTGTTGGTAGAAATGCAGACTGGTGCAACCATTGTGGAAAACAGTGTGGAATTTCCCCAAAAATCTAAAAATGGAACTGCCTTTTGACCCAGTGATTCCCCTGCTGGGACTGTACCCTAAGAGCCCCAAAACGCCAATTCAAAAGAAACTATGCACCCCAATGTTCATAGCAGCACAATTTACAATAGCCAAGTGTTGGAAGCAACCTAAATGCACATCAGTAGATGAGTGAATAAAAAAACTGTGGTACATTTACACAATGGAATACTACACAGCAGAAAGAAAAAAAAGAACTACTACACTTCGCAACAGCATGGATGGAACTCGAGAGCATTATGCTAAGCAAAATAAGCCAGGGAGCGAAAGACAAATACCATATGATCTCACCTATAAGTGGAACCTAACCAACAAAATAAATAAGCAAGGAAAATAAGACCAGCAACACTGAAAGAAAAGAAAAACCAACAAAGTCGAGAGGGAAGGAGGGAGGGGTGGGTGGGGAAAGGGAAGGGAAGGGGCAAGTCAAGGAACATGTACCAAGGACTCATGGACAAAGCCAAAGTGGGGAAGGATTGAGGGAGGGAGGTGGGGGAGGGGAGCAGGGGAAAGTGGTGGTGGGGAGGCGGAGACACATGTATTTGAAAAAAAGAAAAAAATAAAGAAAAGAAAAAACTCTCCCCTTTTTTTTTTCATTCCGTTTGTTTTGGTTTCTGACTTTGCAATGGTGGAGGTTTTCCTCAAATTTGTCGCTCCATTCATGTATAAGAGTGCGTTTGGAAGCTCCATGTGCAGGAGGCTTGCGGACGGACAAGCTTCAGGGAAAGGTGAGCAGGCAGCCTAAGTATTGGACTTTAGGGCCGTCAGGTTCTTCCCAGAAGTACCCTCCTGTTTCTTGTCTGAAGGGCATAAGCCCATCTGCTGTTTTGGGAGCTGGGTAGGGAAAGGGGCTGTGCACTCACTGTTCAGAACAGAGGTTTCACTGAAACCCCGTTTTCAGTCTAGTCCCCCACACTCTCATCTCACCTGTTCACAGTGTGCTAAGTTGGGGAATCTCTCTGATTCTCTAAAGAATACACCTCCCATCTCTGGCCAGGGAAGGGCAAGGGAAGTTACTAGTGCACAGAATGTGGGACAGCATCAAGGGGTCTACGTGCTACTGATACAGAATTTCATCCAATTCCATATTCATCTCTTCATTTGCCCCCTGCCTTCCCGGGTCCTGCTGCCTGCAGTTTCTGTGTTTCTAGGGGCTGCTTTTCTCTCTTTCAGGTACATAGTTTTCTCCGTTCCATGTCAGTTCCTCCACTGACTAGCTGCTTCCCATCTTCTGAAAATATGTTGCTGTCTCTGTTCACTGTTGTTTTTCCTCCACCTCTCTTATTTTCTGTGGGTTTGTACCTTTTTAATTCCTTTATTGTTGTTTTCATCAGGTTTCAAGAGAGGGCAAAGATAAATACATATGTTCAATTTACTATGTTTTAAATAATTGAATGTTCTTTATGTTTTTTAAAATTGAATTGATATTCTACAGATTCTCTTCTGCATAGTAAGCTCCAAAATATTTTGCAATTTAGAAAATATTTAAATTTCTACTTCTATTTATGTTTTTTCTTGCCCTTTTAATTTAAAAATGTTTTGTAATATACAAAAGATATCAGCATATGAGTATATGTATATAAGTTATAAATGAATAGACATATGTGGGGAGGGCATGCTCAAAAGTGTTATATCAATGGCGGTGGTCAAGTATTTTAGGGAAAAATCAAGAAAAAGAGGTTGAATTTCATTTTGGGTCAGTAAAGTACAGAGATGAGATACCAGAGGTGAGATGCTGTAAGTGTGGAATTTTGACAGTTCAGAGCTAACAAGGGGATGAGAGCTGACACCATCAGTTACACACCACCTTTACACCACTTACACCTCATCTAATGTTTCTTTGGGAAGTAGGCATTTGAAAAGCAGAAGAGCCTCAGGCTCAGAGAGGTTAAGTGATTTGTCCAAGGCCACAAAATAGTAAGTGTCATAGCTGGGATTCAAACCCAGCTCTTTCTGATTCCAGGGCCTACATATTTACTCCATGCCTCTCTGTCTACTTAGGGCAACATTAGCCACAATTGCCCTTCCAGAAATTACTCATACAATCAAGTACATTACTTAAATGAAGTACCTGATTTCAGATTAAACATCCTTGCTGTTGAGTTTACAATAACATCTGTGCTTTCTTTTGTGATATCTCCAACAGCAACCTGGAATGTAATCACACCAATTTTCATTTCATACGTTGTGGAGTTAGGGTTAGTGACAGTCCCAAAGACACCTGAAAAGAAAGAGGTGGATGAAAGAGTAGCTGGCTCCTGCAGAACACACAAGATGGGGCCCTGTTCTCTTCCCTGTCCTCCGCTTCCTTTCCCCTTGACGTAAATCCAAACATTACCATGTCTCCTAGCCTGTTACTTTGCTAGGTGTTCTTTTTTAGGGAAATTAGAAAACAATGCTTTGTGGCAGTAGGAGTACTCACGTTTTCTCAGTTTATTAGGATGGGGCAGAGACATGATTGGACCACCTCTTTATTTGCACAAATTGCTGTGGTGTCAGGAGTGAGAAAGAAGGAGAGAGCGCAAAGTGCACTCTCATTTCATGCTGACATTGCTGGGAGATTCTTTTTTTCAACTTTATTGATGTATAATTGACAAATAAAACTGTATATATTTAAGGTATACATTGTCAGGTTTTCATTGTGAAATGATTGCCATAATTGAGTTAATTAACACATCCGTCATCTCATAGAATTGCTGTGTGTGTGTGTGTGTGTGTGTGTGTGTGTGTGTGTGTGTGTGTGTGTGAACTCTTGGGACCCACTCTTTTAGCAAATTTCAAGTATATGATACATTATTATTAACTATAGTCCCCATGCTGTACATTAGGTCTCCAGAGTTTATTCATCTTATAACTGAAAGTTTGTACTTCTTGGAGATCATTTTATTATCATTTTACAAAGAAGGAAATGGTCTTAGAGTAGCTAAGTCATTTGTCCAATGTTCAACAACAGCTTATTAACTAAACATGAGCTCTTCCTGCCCCTTTACATCCTGCTGGAATAGCGATATCAAGGCTGCTCTGAGGAAATTCCGTTTAACATGTTGGCATATCACTGACCACTCTACACTCAAGCTTTACAACCTACACATGTCATTTCTATGCATACCTTAAACTCTTTAGATTTCCCTTTCCACAATTATACAGTGGCAATAGAACCAATCACTTGCCCATGGGGACATGGTGCAGGTTTAAATAATGTAATGCATACAAAAGCAAGTGTGCCGTGTACACTTTAGTTTTGTTATCATATCTTAGAAATTCTGGCCTCATTACCACTGATTTGGTTCACAGCAATATGATTTATTCTTTGGGTGCTCAGACATTGGAATGTTCTAGCGCCTTCTCCATTACTGATTTATTCTTTATGAGAATTTGTCTTCTTCTGTTGAACTTCAATTAACACCGAAGAGTTGCTAAGAAAAGGGAAATATTTCCTCAGCAGAACAACTTCACCAGACCTTGGGTATTTCCAGCCATGAGAATCCTGTCCATGTTGGGATTTCTATGACGATCTAGTGAATTCATGTAAAAATGCCTAGATAGAAAGAAACACAGTTACTGACCACAACAATGTTTTTTAGGAGTATTAATCCAATTCTCTGGAACACTGAGCATCAGACATCAAATAGGAACAATAGTTCTCAATAGATTTTCTCTTTATCTCACAGACTTTTAATTAAAGTGTTGTGATCCAACCTAGAAATTTTCCCAATAAATACCAGTGTGGAAGACCTCCCCCCCCCCCCCCCCCCCCCCTTTTTTTTTTTTTTACACTTTTTTTTTAAACTCTTTTTTTTTTTTTTTTTTTTTTTTCTTTTTTTTTTTTTTTTTTTTTTTTTTTTTTATTTTTTCTTTCCCCTCTTCCCCCCCCCTCCCCCCCCCCCCCCCCCCCCTCCCCCCTCCCTCTGCCCCTTCCCTTTGGTTTGTTGTCCCTTTTCTTTCCTTTCCCTTCCTTCCCCCCTCTCCCCCTCCCTTCCTCTCCGTTTTTTGTTTTTTTTTTTTTTTTCCTGTCGTCCTTGCCTTTGCGCTTTTCTTTGTTGTTTTGTTTGGGTGGTTCGGTGGTGTGGGGATTTGTTTTTTCTTTCTCCCTCCCGCTCTCCTCTTCTGCTGTGCACTTTTTTTTGTGTGTTTTCTTCTTTTTTTTTTTTTCCTTGTTCCTTTTTTTTTTTTTTTTTGTTTCTCTGCTATGAACATTGGGGTGCATAGGTTCTTTTGTATTGGCGTTTTGGTGTTCTCAGGGTATAGTCTCAGCAGGGGAATCGCTGGATCAAAAGGCAGTTCCATTTTCAGCTTTCTGAGGAAATTCCACACTGCTTTCCATAGTGGCTGCACCAGTCTGCATTCCCACCAACAGTGGACTAGAGTTCCCTTTTCTCCACAGCCTCGCCAGCACCTGTTGTTTGTGGATCTGTTTATGATGGCCATTCTGACCGGTGTGAGGTGGTACCTCATGGTGGTTTTGATCTGCATTTCTCTAATGGCTAGTGATGCAGAGCATCCTTTCAAATGCCTCTGGGCCCTCTGTATCTCCTCCTTAGAAAAGCATCTGCCCAGGTCCTTTGCCCATTTTTTGATTGGATCGTTTGTCTTCTTGGAGTAAAGTCGAGTGAGTTCTTTGTATATCTTGGAGATCAAACCTCTATCTGATGTATCATTAGCAAATATATTTTCCCAAATGGTTGGCTCCCTTTTCATTTTGCTGATGTTTTCTTTAGCCGTGCAGAAGCTTCTTATTTTGATGAGGTCCCACTTGTTTATTCTTTCCTTTATGTCCCTTGCTTTAGGAGACATATCAGTGAAAAAATTGCTGCGTGGGATATCTGAGAGTTTCCTGCCAATGTTCTCCTCTAGGACTTTGATGGTGTTGCGACTTATATTTAAGTCTTTTATCCATCTTGAGTTTATTTTTGTGTATGGTGTCAGCTGATGATCCAATTTCAATTTTTTGCATGTAGCCATCCAGCTCTCCCAACACCATTTGTTGAAGAGGCTGTTATTGCTCCATTTTATGCTTCTGCCCCCTTTGTCAAATATTAGATGTCCATAGAGACCTGGGCTTATTTCTGGGCTTTCTATTCTGTTCCACTGGTCTATGGGTCTGTTCTTGTGCCAGTACCAGATTGTTTTGAGTATAGTGGCTTTGTAGTAGAGTTTGATGTCCGGTATTGTGATCCCTCCTACTTTGTGTTTCTTTCTCAAAATTGCTGCAGCTATTCGAGGGGAAGACCACACTTCTATCTTAAATTCCTAAGAATAACTAAGAACTCAGAAAACAAAGCTATATTTGATACCTTTCTAAGTGCTAATATTAGAAAGTTATAGCAATTGCCCTTAAAGTGAAGTAATAATAACTACTTCCACAATCAGTTTTGAGGCTTGCTATGTGCTAGAAACTTCAAATACATCCTCTCTTAATTCCCACAACTCTGAGAGGTATTATTGTCATGTCCTTTACATATAGTAAAACTGAGATTCAAAGAGGTTACTTCATTCAAACTTTAAATGGCAAAGCCAAGATTCAAACCTAAATGAACCTTTCTTTTTTTGTACTCTTTTCTATTGTTTGCATATTTGTTATGATTCAGCTCAATTCATATAAAATCAATGTAACTTTTTCAAGGATGAAAAACAGATTTTGGCCAACCAGCTAAGGACACTTCTTAAGGAATGGCACTTTACAAAAGCAGTGCTAGTGGTGAGTACTTGGTAAGTGTGCTTTGACTGCTTGCTTCTCCACTACTAAGTACAGTATGATGTTTCTAGCTTTAGATCCTCATAGACTTGCATATACTGACTATATTCTATCCAAATAAATAAATTCTTGAGGCTTCTTGTATCATTCGCTCAATAGATAAAGCCATGACTTAGCCTTTATTTAGTCATTGTTAAAATGTCTGGACTACTTTTATGCCAATAACATTTTACTACTTTCTAAGAATTTATTTACTTTAAATTATCCTGTCTTTTGACAAACTGTCTAGGAAGGACTGTATGTGTTATTGATATTACCTCATAGTTAAGCCATGTGACAACCCCCATCAGCAACCAACACTTACGGGCAAAGAAGTAGAAAATGCTGTTATTTATAGATCTACAAAGACATCATACTGCACTTAGGTTTGCTTGTCAGAATGACTGGAAGAGATATGTAACCATACCTGATGGCTTTCATCATCATCCTAGATGTACCAGAAAGTGAATTCCTTGGGTTCTCTGGACCCAAGAAGGTTTTCAACCATGCACTGCTACTAAATTTCAACACTTCTGAAAGCATTAATTCAGCAAATACAATTAATTCAGCTTCGGGAAAACCCAAATTTCCTGTTCTGATCATGGGAAATGTGATTGATGAAAAAGATAGCTGATCTATAGTCGTCAAACATTCCTTGATTATATTTGCCATGATCTGAAATGTATGAAATACATTTATATAAGTTAGGGCTCAACCTAGTGGAAAACAGAAAGAACTGTGGCTCCAGCAACCCTGACCAGACCCTCTCTGTTATTGTTGGCTTGGGAGTTAGAAAGGGAGGCTGAGAAGAAGGGAGAGGACTTCCCGGAGACATTTAAACTCATGCAGGAGGGCAGTGTCCAACAGTACGGAAATGGTTACATAAACAGGGATATCTCATTGCAGTGAAAATTGATGTTTACAAAGAGTTTTAAACAACATGGGGGAATGTTCATGTTATGTTTTAAAAAAAAGCAAGATTATAAATGTTTGGAAGGAAATAGCAACTAAAAATAAATATGCATAAAATTGAAGGAAATACAGTAGAATGTTAATCAAAGTTATCTCTAGGTGCCTGGATTATGATTTTTATTTTTGTACTTTTTGTATTCTCTGCAATGTACATATACTAATTTATATTCTGAAAAAAATAAGTTAGGGATTAAACTAGGTATAGAAGTGAGAATTAAGGTATCCAAAGAAAAGCACTGACCCTTCTTCATTCTTTACCAGAGCTCTGGCTGGGTCTCTTAGTTATACTGAAGGATGATCACACTAATTTAATCTTCAGACACCATTGCTGGAGAATTCCAATGGTAGTTACTACTTTTAAGAACTGATTGCTCTGAAATAACTGGTAGTTGTGATGGACTCTTCATGGAAGGTAACAAAGATTTCAATAAATAGACAGGGTTAAATAAATGCTAAGGCTTCTCAACCTAGGCCAGATAATTCTTTGTCGTGGGGGCTGGCATATGCCTTAAAGGAGATTTGGCAGTATCCTTGGCCTCTACCTACTAGCTCCCAGTAGCAGTTATTTGTAACAAGCCAAAAGCTCCCCCTTGAGATAAATTCACTTTGTTTGAGAACCACAGGTCTATACCCTGCCAGAGGATTAGCAACATTATCAAATGAAATGAAGAGCTAAGGACTTTTTCCACCTGCTGAGAAGACCCAGGTCCATTATCCCATTCTGGAGCCACAACATGGAGCACAGCTTTTGCAGTCCAGATTGCAGCCACTTGTCATGAATATGCTACCAACTTCCCCCTCTGTTTCCTGCCTGGTGGCATTTAACTCTTTCTGGAGCATGGGACCAGCTTTCTGCAAAAGAGCCTGAGAGAGTGATCCTCCTCCAAGCTGAAGATCCGTGGGAACACTGTTGACAATGACATCGGCCTTAAGGAAAACAGCAACAAATTTGTCAGAGGTTGAATCAATAAATAATTATTGAGCACCTATGACTTGCTAAGTATTGTGGGGTAATGTATATCAAATATGCTGTGCCTTTTACACTGACCTGTCAGCCCTACCCTCAGGGAACTTACAATGTGTTGTCATTACTTAGACACTATAATAAGATGAGTCTCAAAACTTAAAATTGAGGAAATATATTACCTACTACCATCAAGTCAACATGTTAGGAGTCAGAGTAGAGCTATGAAAATGACTAAAACAGGCCAGAGACTTAGAGAGACAGAAAAAACTTGAAGTAAAAGTAAAAGGCAGAGGCAGAAAGAGAAACATAGTGAGACACACTGAGAAGAACACAAAGGTTGAGAGAGACTGAGGAAAAGAGAGAATTGCTTTTAGGCTGGCAGTAACTGAGTAACTGTTTTGACTTTATAAACATACACAAAGAAAGAAAGGACCCAGCTGAAGCAGGGTTCTGGTCAGCCCTAAAGGCCTAGACAAAGGAAGGTCATTGGGGTAAAGCTAGGCAGTGTCCATTCGGGCCCACCCAGAGACACTGAGTTCTCTGATATCTGAGCTGAAGCCATCTCTTTGGTGAGACAGGGTCAATGCCTGACACCAACAGATATTAGATATTCAATTCATCTAATTGCATTTATTCCAATTTTGTGTTCAAATCTGGAGGGAGAATGCTATAATCAGGTGGATTTTGAGTATTCTGGTTCCTTGGGGAGCTCTTCTCCAGTGTAAATTAAAAGATGTCTATGTCTCTGGGCCACATGACCGTTCTATTTTGCACACTAAGTTAATAATCAGCATTCGTGGGTTCACCTCAATCTTATATGAGGGTAGTTAATGTAACTAATCTCTGGACCCAAGAAACTCCTCGCAGGGACAAGAGTGAGTGAGTCTTCCAAAAAAACTAGATTCAGTCCACTTTTGCCTCACCCTCGCTTACAGCCTCACTCTCTACCTACTGATTCCTACACAGTTTGAGGAAGCAATAGAATAACAAGTAGAAAGTAAAATAGCCTTAATGTTTAAATAAGTTCAAGATAAAAAAAAAACAACTGTGTGTTAATTATACAATTATTAATTGCTATAGACTTTCAAAAAAAGAGAAAGTTATCATTTAGATTGGATTGTTTAGTAAAGTCTTTACAAAGAGGATAAGGGGTATAACTGAGACAGGTGGAAAGAAGGCAGAAAAGCGTTCTAGGTGTGTTACTATCTAAGAAAATGCGTAAAATTGAGGAAAGTCAGAGAATTGACCAATTTGGCTAAGGAAAGTTTCAATGGAGAGAGACAGGACTGGAAAGGGATTTGGGGCCAGGTGATGGAGGACTCTGAAAAGCCACATTTTTCTGGACTTTACCCTGTAGGCAGTATGGGGCACCTGATGAAACAATGTTTTTGGAATATGCCTCACACAGCAATGTAGAGAACGGGTTGGAGGGTGAAAGGCTAAGGGCGAGGAGGCAAGGCCAGTACTAAGGGAATGAAGAGGAAGGAGTGTGTACAAGAGACATTGTAGAAAGAGGCTTGGAAACTAACTGGACAGAGAAAGGTTGAGAGGGTTCTCAAATTTATACAGCACCATCCAACGGTTGAGATTATGTACTCTCACAAGAGTCGACAGGAGTTTAACAATCAACTAACAGACTGCGTAGTGGAAAGACCTCGATTTCCTCAACTATAAGATAAAGGTAAATAATACCTCTCTCAATTAGATTGTAGTAGTAATTAGGTGAGGTGAAATTTAAAGTGGTCAGTTTTAATGGATAATGATGATAGCTGTCATTTTCTGAGTCTTTACCATGTGCCAGGAAGATGCTAAGTGCTTTTATATGAACTATTTTATTTAAACCTCACAATAACCCTTATATCATCATTATCCATATTTATAGATGAGGGCATTGAGGTATAAAGGGGACATTAACCAAGATCCATGGCTGATCAGTGGTATAATGGTACTTGAACACTGTCGGTACTGGCTTTACAGGTGGTCTGTGTAACCGCTGCACTATACCAACTCCTGGAGTGAAAAAGAAACTTCGTGTACTTTTATGTCATTCAGTTTTTCTCTGGTCTGATTATATTCACCAATCAATCTCATAATAGTCATCTACAGAGCTCACCATTACCATTATCCACGTCAACTATCTCTCTTATTACATATTAAATCATTACAATTCCATTTTACAAATGAGTCTCTTGAGTTTGATTAGTGTCAGAGCAAGTCTGGGTAAATGATAAGATTCAACTTCTCAACCTACAGTTCTGAGGACAAAATCCTGAAGCCATGTGAAAATTTCTATTTATTCTAGAGGACATGAAGAAAGTGGCTGGCTGCCTCCCCTCTGCCATCTCATTAGCTGCTGCAAAAGTAAAGACTATTTCCTAGGGCTCATAATCCATGAGTCTCTAAATTTCTCAGAAGAGTTCTCTACCCATTATTCTTGAATGTGTACCATCTGAAGGTCAATATTAAACGTTAAAGTGGTGGGGGCTATAGAATTCCAAAGACTCCTAGTCAATAATAATTCTCAGACCTATCTACATATTAGAATCACCTGGAATGCTCTCGAAAGCTACTGACACTTAGACCACACACCTGACCAATTAAAATCAGGATCTTTAGGGATGGGGCCTTGACATCGGTATTTTTTTAAGTTTTCCAGGTGATTCTGAATTGCAGCCAGGATCGAGCTTCATGGAAGTCAACTATAGATGTAACACAAGGCCTGCTAACTGGTGATTCCAATGAAAAGGAAGCAGTAGGAGGAGAGTGGTAGGCAAGAGCCTAGCTGAGCATTTAGTACCTATGCTCGTCAACTTTCCCCTTCCTCATTCCTCCTGTGTCTCAGAAAGCGCTCAGCCAGGAGCGACAGGGGGTGTTTGAGAGGGTGATGTTATAATGTGATACACAATTGTCCTCCCCATCAGTGCTGATGGAACAGTAGAAGAAAACAAAATTGGGTTGAGAGTAAATCAAGATAATTTATACAAAAATAAAAGAGGTGGATTTGTACAACCTGGTTCGTGGTTAAACTTGGATCTCTTCACATAAGTACAAGTAGAAGAATATAGGAGATGGTAAGTATAGCGCTGCATGAACCTCAGATGAGTTTAAGTTCTCAAATTTATATGATCTTAATTGTTGACCTTAAATCACAGAACCCATGGGTTAATAAGACCCCATTGTAGATTTACTAAATAACACCACTTACGAAGAAATATGAAACATCTCTGCTTATCAACACGAGATTCAGACCTTCTTTGGTTTGGGTTGAAGCTAGAACATTGCTCTTCGAAAGACAATTGTTCCAGCTGATATGGTATGACTGTGAAGAAAAAATAAAAAGCATTATCAGGTAATTCTACCTGAAGAGTTTCCTCATAGGTATCCAAACAAAAAATAACTATTAGATTTCACAGGCTTCTCTAACTCAACACACAATAAATCCAAAGATTCAAAAGCAAGTAATTTATTATTACAATGTTTGAGTATCAAGTGTTTTAATACCCCAAATGCCAATGATCTCTTTTACCTATTTCCCCAAGAATCCTAGCCCAGCAGACCCAGTCCATTTCCCATGGCTCTTACTATTTAAGGGCCCCTCAGTCACATAGCCAACTGTACTTCCTGCCTGAGAACTTTCTGTATGTAGTGTCAAAGTCTGCTTTGCTTACCAGTGTGGCAGAGGAAGCAGAAGTAAAATAAGCTGCCCTCCCTAGTCCTAAAGCCCTCATTCAACAATTGACAGGAGCTGGTATAAAACCATCCCATCAGCCTCACCTCCCAGATAGGACTCACTCTGATTTCCCCAGTAGGATTAAGAGGTAACTAATTTGATAATACACCCTAATAGTGTCCTTTACCCTCCTATTTAAATCACTTCCACTTGAATCTGTCTCAGGTCCTCTTCTAAGGGAACCCACAGCAAGATACACTCCACAGTTCTCCACAATAATGCATTAGCTGTTTGGTGAGTAATCAGTCATACAATTTTAAAATTTAAAGAGTCAACACAGATCATCCAGTGTAGAAACGTCACTCCCCTCAAAGGGAAATGAGCATGCAAAGAGATGGACCTACTTGCTCAAAGTCAGATGACTAGCTCATGAAAGGCGACACGATGCTTGAGTCTGCTCTTCACAGAAGAGGAACTGAATGCCACATGTCTCCATCCCCCACACACAATGAATAATGTGACAGACATTATTCATTGGTATCAGCATCAGCACTCTTTTTCAATCAACCCAGATACAATCTCAAAATCTTTCTCAACACAGAGCTCAGGCAACAATTATCATTTGATTAGTAGTAACCTATGAAATGAAGTATATTTCCCATGTCTGATCTAAACCAAAAACGATATGAATTTTCTTTGCTTAAAATAGTCTTAGAGTATTTTTACACTCTACTTTCTGTAACAAACAGAGAACTCTAGGCAGGCTGGGAATGGGCTTCTTGAGCAATCCTTTTCACTTGCTCGGGAATGCCATTCCTCACTCTGCACTCTCCTTCAATGGTGAAAGCATCATCAGTCATCTCCCACACTCAAAATTCTTTGGGTATTGACTCTTTCAAAGCGTTGATGTAAAGACTAGAAAACCTTCCTGAAAAACCAGTCATGTTCTCTGTTACAATGTCTTGGTTGGTCTTTAGATGTATTACAGTTGTTTTGTTTTGTTTTTTCACATCCTCCAAACAACCTATTATTATGACCATCTCCTTGAACATATCAATCAAGATCCTACCATCCTTTATGTTCTCTTTTATGTTCCCCCATATCACTGGCTCCACATTCAATTTTGTGACAATATTTAGACATGATATAGAAAATTTTTTAGAAACATCTCCTTCCCAGGTCTCAGTGACATTGACCTTTGTTCTCCCTTGAGTGAATTGGGTGGCTGCAGACCTGAGTGTTACCTCCAGCCCCTTACAGCTGACTTGGCGCCATGATACCTTACAGTGGCCCTTTCTCTTTTATGAGTTATCATTCCAATCAGGTGATGCTTCTTCTGCAAGATTCTTCCATATGAGAGGGTCCAGGGCCACCAAAAATGGTGGGAGCATCTTTCTTAAGGGCCATTCCCTGCCATGCAAGGCTATGTCCAAAGACATAACAGGGAAACACAGAGATAGGCCTCTCCTTGAAGACAAGCTTTTTGGACAAGTAGGTGTCCACCACTAAAAAATGAAACAATAAAAAGCTAGATATCTTTCAGACAAAATAGTTAGCACAAGAAGAAATCCTGATACTAATGAGACTTTGAAATACAGTGTGTCTACTACCTAAAATGGCATCGCTGTCAAGCAGCTCACTGAAAGATGAGATATTCATGAATGCAATGGACCTAATCCTCACCTAATGAAATAGATCTATTCCATTCATGGTTGCTTTGCTGTGAAGTTTTATAAAACTAATCTGATTTTCCCATGGACATTCATTATAATACGGGAGAGGGTATTTTTTCCTGACAAAATCTGGCCCTTAGAGATTCAATAAATACAAACAATAATGCACAAGCAATTCAAAATAACCTGATAGAAGTTAAACGAATGCCATTTTTAAAGGATACTATAAAATGCAACCAACAGGGAGGCTTCTGAAGGGTCTTTTGAAAATTTATCTATTTCATCCACTTTACTCTTCTGAAAAGTACTACATTTGTACTGAGTTCTTGGTGTGTAAAAGTCAGCAATTTTTAGAGAGAGACGAACTTCAGTTGTTAGTTTTATATCTGATTGAGATTTGAAATGCTCCGGTTTTTATATTACTTGCTGATATTTTTAAATACTTTGGAAAAATAGATTTCACTTATTGCCTATTTTTAGAAATATTATAGATAAACATTATACTTCGTAAAGTCCGATTTACTCATCAGATCACAGGAAAACAAAAATAACAAGCATGATATAGTAAATGATGGTGCCCAACCGCTGACATAAATTAACAGAGCTACAATTTGTTACTGAAAAGAAAGAAGTTCTTGTTACCGCATAACAAAAGGGCAATCTACAGAGATAACCAAAGTACAAAAATGCTGCATATTCACCAAGAAGACTGGGTATGGTCATTATTTATATACATCATAAGGAGAATAGAGACTTCCATTTTTGGTTGTTGTTAACCCTTGAAAGAGGACCAATCGTACTGTGAACTTAAAACTCCTCTAAAAAATAAAGGTGGTATAGGGGAATTCTCTGAATCCTCAGCTCAACTTTGCTGCAAATCTAAAACTGCCCTAAAAAACAGTCTTTTTAAATATGCATTTTTGACTAATAATTACAAAACTAAATAGTTCAAAATTAAGAATAGATAATATGACAAGAGTATAATAGAAATTCCAAAAATAAACTTTAGTCTATCAAAAAGTTTAATACATGAAGTATTAAGAGGGAGAAGAGAGTGGAGAGATAAATCATAATTTAGCAAATATTGTTGGGAAGTTAGTTTTCATTATGAAGAAAATTAGACATCAGTTCATACTTCATAATAAACACCCAAAGACAATAATATTAACTCCTGATAGGTTAAAAATATTACCTTTACATACTCCAAAAGTAGTAGAATGCAAGCTCTCTATCTATTTAATTGTAACAAGGTGAAAAATTTTCAACTAATGAAACAAGACGTACAGATAGCAATTTAAATGGAGTAACATAAAATACTAAAAACAGTAAAAATTAAAAGATCTCCATAACATAGCAGATACTCAAGAAATGCAGGTTGGCCAATTAATGCAGTGGAGCACAGGGCAGTAAATTCCTAAATTTCCAAAACTGGAATGAATATACTTGAACAAATGAAATGGCCACCTTTGTTCTTAGTTAGAACATCTCAACACCATCCCAAGATGTCAGCTGTCTGTAATTTAATTTATAAATTTAATGAAATCCTAATAAAAATTCCAATGAATTTCTTTGACACTGAACATAAATCAGAAGTCAATCCTAAAGTTCATAAGGAAAGATAAGCCAACAAGAATAGTTAAGAAAATACTGAAGAGGAAGCGCTCTGTTAGGGGACTAGCCCAGGCGTTAATGTATATAACATCCCCCTGACATTACAGTACATAACAAAGTCTCTTTGCAACAGATGAATAAACAGGTCAATGAAATAGAAGTTCCAGAAACAGCCAAATGACAAAGAAAAATGTGGTATATGATAAAAGATTACCTTTACCAGGCAGTGGTAATCTTTTTAATCAATCCAACTAATGAAACAAAATGGAAGATCTACATATAGGGATTTAAATGGATTCACCTAATTGGGTGTTGTGACAACTGGACACCCACTGAGAAAAAAAAATTAAATTAGATCCATTCCTCGCACCATATACAAAAATAAATTCCAAAGGTACCAGATATCTAATTTTTTTTAAAAAAATAGACAAAAAAGCATGGGTAATGATAACATAGGTGTAGGGGAAAACTTTTAAAAATATGACTAAAGTCCAGATGCAATAAAACAAAAGACTGGTAAATTTTACTACATTAAAAAAAAAGTTTGGGTGGGGTAACATAACCACCATAAGCAAGCTCAAAAGACAAATGACAAACTGAAAGGAAATATTCATAACATGTATCAGAGATAAAGGACCAATAGTTCTAATTCACAAGAAACTTTTTGAAATTTGAGGGGGAAATGCTCAGACATTCTACGGAAAACATGCCGGGCACCCTACTCTGTGCCGGCGCGAGTCAGGCTGGTAAGTGCCTCCCTGGAGAAGAGGGTTCTGCGGGACGTGGCGTCTCTGCGCAGCCCTGAGCTGAAAAGTGTCGCGCATGTACCGGGCGCCTGGCGGGTCGGCCCTGTCGCCCCCTCCTCTCCTTCCCACCCCCGCCGCCCCTCACCATCCTACCGGCAGAAGAGGGCCAGGAAGCGCGGTGGGTTGCCTCCCGGTCTCCGGGTGTCTTCTGGCTCTGGAAGTCCTCCTGCAACTTGGTGTACAAGTTCTTGGGCCCGGGGCAGTCGTCGGGGCCCCAGAGCCCCAGGACTGTCACATCAGCAGCGCGGGGCTGGGCTCAGCGGTCCTCAGCTCCAGCTGCCCCGCTGTCGGCCTGCCCTACCCAACAGGCTGGTGCCTAGATCTTTCGCTTTCATTTTTAGGAAAACGGCTTCTGCCTTAGGTTGCAATCTTGAGGTGGCGAACAACAGCTGCCTCAGATTTCTGTCACCTTTTTGGGACAGATGTTGCTGTCAGACAACTTCTGAGCCGAAGTCCAGGGCTCTATAGTTTATCAGTCGAGTAGCCTTAATCGATAGCATCCGTACAATGGGGATAGCCATAACTATTTCATGAAATTGTTGTGAGGATTAAACGATATAAAGTCTGTAGAGTGTCTAGCATTAAAACAACAACAACAACATTATTCTCAGAAATCTAGGCCCCTGAGTAAGGTCTTCCCTTGGGATCCTGAACTGCTGGCTTGGGGGGTCGCGGGGACACCGCAGTAGCCAGACGTTCTGTCCCCAGGGGACTGCTGGCTCTGCCCACTGCAGCTCTACAGCTCCTGCACTTCTATGCAAGGCAGTGCCAGAGCCACTACTCAGCCCTGCAGGCAGCCCTGATGTCCAGCACCTGGGCCAACCAGCCCCCACATCTCCTCATGCCCCATGGCGGGGGCTGGGGCCGGAGGGGGGGTGATGGTGGCTGTTTAATCCCTGATGTTTGTTGGGGACACCCTGGGTCGGCTGACAGAATTCTGCCCTTGGCCAACACAGACCAAGGCTGCAGGTACAGCGCTGGACCAGACATTGTGGGCTACTGTGCTCGCTGTCTAGGGAGCTGCCCTGAGCTGCCCATCTGGTTCCTCAGCCCAAGAGACGGTGCAGTATGTGGCACAGCAGGCAGGGCAGGCTCTAAAACTCAACCCCCTGCTCACCAGCCTGACCCCCTGAGGGTCCTTTGGCCCTGCTCTGTCCCTCCGCTGAGGGCCAGGGCCCCCTTCCAGTCTTTGGGCAGCTGGAGGGCTCAGCTTTAGGACAAGGAGAGATGGCGGTATCTTTCCCCGCTCCGACCCCTTCCACTCATCTCAGTCTCTCACAGAGGCATCTCTTCCCTCATCTGCAGCTTTTTGTGTGAACAATTTTATATAAATTATTTTCATGTAATATTATTTCCTGCTTTGTCAGGGGCAGGTGCCAGGAGGAGAAGGAACTGAACTCTTCTTCCTCTCTAAGCCTGAGGTGGCAGTAGTCTGTCACTCACTGCACTGCACTCTACCTCTGGGAGAATCATGGAATCACTGAAGGTATATCGTCAGAGGAGCAATGAGATCAGAGCTATTTTTTTTTTTTCAAAAATAGCAGTGGGAGGAGGAAGAGGGTTGGGGACACAGAGGGTTTTCAGTGGGTATTTTAATCATTTTGGTGAGAGAATTATGAAAATACCAACTGGGTAGTGAGATTTAAAGTGAAGGAGAGGCGGGACTGCTGATGATGGACGTGCAGGACAAGAGGGAGAAGCCATAGGCGCCACTAAGATGACATTTTAATGTACTCTAACTGTAATACATTCTATATTGTCTACTGTTTTCCCAGGAAATAAAACCAAGTTTCCTCCTCTTTAAAACAAGGCATTTCAACAATAAGATTTCTGCAGTCTTTTTTAACTCCTATGCCAAGCAAACAAAGCTGTGGAGTAAACCTGCTAAGTCTCTTCAAAGCTCTTTGTGAAGCAGTGGCCGCGGTGATAACCCCTAGCCTTGCACTGTATCACACATCTTAGGTGACCTCACTTCTCTTTTTGCTTGTCCTTACCGTGATTGACCTGGGCTTGCCCCTCCCAAACAGTTGTTCCCTTATTGATTTCTGTCTAAGGCTCCATGTTTATAAGACTCAGAACCCGATCAATAGAAAAGAAAATCGTGCCCAACCCCTTTTTGGAAATCAGAGCAAAACCAGTAGTACTACATTGTAAGATAAATGTAAGGAAGTACCACAAAGTTTTGATTTGTCTCCTAGTGACTGCTTTGATGCTATCTGTGATGTGATTTATAATAAGAAATATATATTTGATCTTTGTCCCAGTTCGTGGCACAGAACTCCTAAAATCCTTGGAATTTCCTGAAAGCTGAGAGCAATAAAGATGTTTTTATGTTAATGAGGTGACTTATATTAAGGGGATGACTAAAGATGGGGCCTGGTTGCCAGAAGAAGCAACCACATGATTAGAGGGTTAAAACTTTCAGCCCCACTCTCTGACCTCTGGAGCCGAGAGAAGTGCCAGAAATTAAGTTAAATCACCAATGGCCAGTAATTTAATCAACCATGCCTCTGTAATGAGGTCTCCATAAAACCCCGTAAGGACGGGATTCAGAGAGCTTCTGGGTTGGGAAGTGAAGGTGCTGGCAGATGGCACACTCCATGCCCTTTCCCTGTGCATCTCTTTCATCTGGTTGGTTGTTCCTGAGTTATATCTATTTTCTTTTTTTTTTTATCCTCACCCTAAGGCACGCTTGTTGATCTTTAAATAGAGGGGAAGGGAGGGAAAGAGAGAGGGAAACATCTATTGAAAGGGTAAAGCATGTGCCATTTGCTCTTATGGCTCCCTTTGCCAAGCAGGCCTATGACCTTGTTAAACATTAATGCTATTTTACTCTTCTGAGCTTATGTCTCCAGGACAAGAAATTACTGGAAAGTAAGAACAAAGTGTGACTAACCGCCCCTCACAGCTGCACGCAAAAGGTAACATTGGAGCAAATTGCAGCTTGTGCAAAACCGACTGAAACCTCCTGTGTTACAATGCCCCCAACAGCCTAGGGGCCACACAACAGCAACCCTCTCACCCTTTTATAACCCAATTATGATCCAATAAAAGCTCAAAGCCCCCACCCCTCAATGCTGATGTGTCTCCCCACACCATGCCCCTTTCCACTCCTGGAAAGTAAATAAAAAACTTTGCTCTCTGCATTTTCTTCCTTAGCAAATTCTTTCACAGCCCACATCATTGACGACCCTAACATCTGTGTGTGAGAGAAACAGACTAGTTGCCTTCTGTATGCACCCCAAGTGGGACCAAACCCGCAACCCAGGCATGTGCCCTGACCAGTAATCAAACCCATGACCTTTCAGTGCACAGGACGACGTTCCAACCGAGACACAAAGGCCAGGGCCCTGAGTCATATCCTTTTGTAATACACAGACCATCTAGTGAGTGAACTGGTTGCCTGAATTCTGGAAGTTGCTCTAGGAAATTCTCCAAGGAGGGTATCATGGGCACCTCAGACTTAGAGCTATTCAGCAGAGGCCCAGGACACAACCTGGGTTCACGATTGCCATCTGAATTAGAGGGCAGTCTTGTGGGACTGAGCCCTTAATCTGGGGGACCTGATACTTTCTCCTGATAGATAGTGTCAGAATTGAGTTGAATTGTTGGACACCCTGCTGGTGTCAGAAAACTGCTTGGATGTGTGGGGAAAAAAAAACCCCCACACATTGGAATTGGGTGCAAGAGCTTACTATCTTTAAGAAAATATCAAGTACCTCAATATTATTTTCAATTCTATTTTCCTTTGGAGAGAAGGGTGCCCTGATTTGCTGGTGCCCAGTGAGCCACCTGGGTAATTCAGCACTGACACTGGAAAAGGTGAAACAGAAATTCTAGGAGCAAGGAGGGGGCAAGTGTATTTTGATAAGGTGTTGCAGATGCTCTCTCTAGGAGAGTTGAAACCTGCAGCCTACTCTCACCTTTGTAGTACTCTATGTGTTAAGGAAAAACAATACTAAGAATTGTGATTTCCACAGCTGAAAGTGACAGCAGCCAAGTCAAAAGTAGTTTTGTCATACACTCTGTGTGCTGTGGGAAGCCACCAGAATCTCAACCTAAGGAAAAAGAAAAAAGGAGTGGGGAAAGACCACAGACAATCTGTTCCTAATATGGAAATAACTTTATTTAAAGCAGATATGTATCTTCCACAGAGCAAAAGCAGCAATCCAAAGGCTCACCAACCACTAACATTATTAAACTGCCTGTGCACACCTCGCATTGTAATCAAGGATCTAGACCTTAGCAGGAACCAAACGTGTGGTTTTTTAAAGTAAATTTAGCTAAAGCTTAGTAGATACAAAACAACTAATCATAATGGTAAAGACTTTAATGAATCACCAAAATTTAAATGTATCATCTGATTTAAAAAAAAAAAGTCCTATCATTTAGTTTAAACTTCCTCAACTCTCTGGACAAAGGTAAAAAGATTCTGGGTTTTTAAGTTCTTCAAATAAGATTTCTTTGGAGGAAATGTGCTGGAGAAGCTCGGGGTAACAGGAACTCTTGTCAGCTTTGTGGAGGAGCAGCTCTGGGGTCGAGAAGCCTTGAGGCCAGGCTATCTCCATTAAATCCAAGTACTTCCACGTGATAACTATGTGAACTTTGTCATGGTATCCTCTCTGTGCATCAGTTTCCTCAGTTATAAAATGGAAATATTAGTATTATCAATCACACAAATATAAAGATCTTATAAAGGGGACAAAATAAGTCCACAATAAATATTAGCTATTACCCTCTCATCAAAAACGTGTATGTGGGTGTAAGTGTATCTTCAGGAAAAGAAAAAGACATCTCATTCATTATTTTTCGAGAGAGGCTGCGATGTGGGTAACCAGATAAGAAAGTTTTCCAAATCAGTGGTGAGGACTCCAGAAATGGCTTCCTTACCCCTGTCTCTGCTAAAGATTTAGGGAACATATATTCCTCTGCTTGGGATTAGCCACCTAAGTCAGGCAGCAGAAGTTTATTAAGTGCCAACTGTATACCAGGTTCTGTGTCATGAAAAATAATAGTCTTATGCTATTTATTACCAAAGGTTGCCCAGTCTCTTCTCCTGGCCACTTTTCTGGCCATGAAAGAGGGGACTGTGTGTCTTTTAATTTTTTCATAACCAAAGCCTCCTCACTTCCCCCATTCACACTAGGATTTTACTTTAGGGTATTTAAAGGGCAAAGCAACCAACAAAAAACTAAAGGGCACCCCAGAGATGGTAAGGAAAAGAGCTATCAACTGGCAGCTAGTATTTCAACTGAAGAGCACAGAAGGTGATTTTAGGCCCACAACACTCTATCCCCCCTCCTTCCAACAATGACCCAAGAATGAAGCATAACATCTCTGCACCAAAAATCACCCAGCTCTTTGCGGCTTTTATCTTCCATAAAAAGTAGCACTCCAGAAACGACAGACTAACAGATTCTTTCTCTTACATAAATGCTTGAGATGAACATTTGTAAAAAGTCTTTCGACATAGGGATATTTACTCTCCAACCGTGTCTTCTGAAAATTTGGCTCAAGACATCCTTCCGGTAGTCTTCTTACTCAATTCCTTTATTTTTCAGCTCCTGTTTGACGCGTTTCAGATAATTAGGATCAGGGTAGCCATATCTGCAGAAGGAAAAGCTCCTTAGCTTCATCACACATGGTTTTAAAGAATCTGTACAGTAGGTCCCTGGCATCAATATTGTGTTGCAAACATCAGCAAGCAGTCCTGAAGGTGGATGACTTTTAATCCCCTGTTAGTGTGCAGATGTGAGCCATTTAGTTAGTCAGTGAGCCCAGCTGTCTGCCTAGCATCTGCCTTCCAACAAGACATTTTTTATTTTCAGCTTATGGTAAGCAGTGCCTCTCATAAAGTTATACTATACTATATTAAAAATAGATATATAAAAATACTTTATATATTAAAATATAACATGTTACATATGAAAATATAGCATTGTATGTATTTTCATATTTTATATATAAAAATGTAGTATGTGCTACAGGAGGATTTTCAAATTTGGAAAATTTGCAAATGTCTCAGGACCCTTTCAGATAATACGGGTCTGAGGTATTCTATCTGAGTTTCACTGAGAACAATTGGATTGCTTATAATATAACTTTCACAGCATTAAATAAGGGTTTTTCTAGAGTACTATCAGCCAAGTAAATTTAGGATCTCAATGGACCGATGGAGGGAGAGGGTAGAAGAAAGGATGATCTTAAAAGAAGGCAAAGTAAATAACATCCCTGAGATCCACCCTTCGAATAAATAGGAAACCTCAAATCAAGTCATCTGAGATATAACTCATGTTGGATTCTGAAACCCCCTGCCTTTTGATGCAAAATTTAGTAACTGTATGATACTTTGCAGTTGGGAGAGTAGAAGGTGATGGGAACGAATCTGCCTTTGAGATTAACAGCTCTCAAAATACTGCACTGTATCCAATCCCAGTGCTATCGAGAGTCCCTTATAGCCATATACTCCAGCTGCTACATCTTACAAGCTCTATATTCTGTTTAGCAAACATCTTATTTCAAACGGTTCTCACCTTTCTGGTCCCCCAGACCTGGACGTTTTATGGTGGATATCATTCCATGTAATGACATTTGATAATCCTGTAACTTGAGAAACCCCCACTGTGAAAATTAGCTTTTGGTCAAAGGCTTTCCGAAGCAGTTCCAAAACTTCCTTTCCTTCCCTGTTACTAGGCAAGTATGCAATTCGCTGTGTTCCAGCATATGGCACTCCTGGGTTTGGGTGCTCTTCCTATATGAAGACAAAACAATGTTGCATAAAAACACTCCTGAGTCTAAATTTTACTATACAGATAGACGTGTTCATTTGCAGATACAGGATATCAAAAACAAAAAAAAGTACTGAATAATTCATATTTCTCCTCTTTTCCTACATTCATGCTGGGAATACCATCCATCTTCCCGACTCCCCCATCCTAACACATAATCAATCACCACCCAGCATTCCTCTCCATAAATAGTCACAAAATATAAGTGATAAGCAAACATGGGTACCTTTGTTACTATTTAAAGCCATTGCATGTGACCATGAAAATAAGTCCTTGGGCAATCCACTAATTGGAAACAGCAGAGTCTCTTTGCTCAGCACACTGGAAAGAAACCCGTGGATCTCAGAAACACTTACTGTTTGTATGCCTTCTTTCATATGATATTTAATCACAATGGAGCCACAAGATTCATAACCTGGAAGCGGGTCTTTTTGGAAGCTGAAAGTCATGGTTCCCGCTGGCTGATTCCCTTTCTGGACCCCATAGGAAGTCAGGCATACTGGACAGACTGGCTTGTATTTCAGGGCTTTGTTGATACAATGGGTGCAGAATTCGTGCTTGCACTTTGGTAGCACTTGCTTTTTCCCAATGGGCTCCATACAGATGGCACATATGTCCTCTTTCTCGTTCACTCCTGATGCCCCAGAACTGGCAGAGCGCGGGGATGTTGGTGAAGCTGTTTCTGAATCATTACTATCAATGCCCATGGGTGTTTCATGTTTCTCATTCTGTTTCTGTCCAGCTAACAGGGACATTCCCCCTGCTTTTAAGACATACTGCTTTGCCTTTGCAATATGATTTGGCAACCCAATAAAGGTCACTGACTCTTGATTTAGCACAAAGTGTACACCTGGATGCTTATTTCTAAAGTCACCAATGAACTTGGTCTCATGTAAGTCCTTTCTTTCCTTGCCCAAAGATTTCAATGGAAGAACTTCTCTCATCAGCTGACATGAGACATGTTGATAGGCATCAATGAAACTTGCACAAGCATGCACAGACAGATCTAACTCCTTGTCCTTAGGTTCAAATAGAATGCAGGTTTTCTGACTTTCTTCCCAAATCTTACTTTGAGTGTTGTACTTTTGTTCTATCTCTGGTATCTCCTGGAGTAATTCAGCTTTTAAAAGGTTGTAGTGTGCCGTGTCGACTGTAATTCTGTTGACTGTATCCCAGGAAATTGATATTTTCACAGGTGCCCTGACAAGACTTTCAGAGGTTTGGGGGGCAAGAAAATGTCTGGCAGCTGAAATGTCATCGTGGGTACCAAGGATAGTTAATTCTCCTCCATTCTCCTTTATATAAAGCTTTTGAAACTGGTGACTCAATTTGTGTTTGATTTTATTTGCCTGTTTACTGTCTGCCAATACAACACATTCCTGCTTCATTGTTCCTATGCTCTGCTGAAATTCACAGATAAAAGACTCTTGAGCTGCTTTGAGGTCACCTGATTGACTTGAGATGAAATCTAAAGAGACCTCATTAGGTGAACTCTCCTGACTTTTTATTTTTATATCAAATTTTTTCTCTATTAAGTCCATTTTTCCAGGGTTGGTATGTTTGAAGTATTCAAAGAGAAGCAAGGGAACTTTAAAAGAGGTGCTTGTTGCTTCTGACTTGGTGTTTGGTTCAGACGGAGAATCACAGCTGTTCTGGTCTTGCTGGAGTGGTTCTCGCTCTGTTGTCAACTGGGATGATTCATGTTCCCACTCCCTTTTTAGGAGTTGCTCACTCAAGAAGCCATGTATTTTTTCAATATCTTTGAAGTCACCACACACCTTCACAATGCCATTGTAACTCTCCATTTTTTTGACATTGGGGCAAAGAGTGGTTATGTGCTCCTGCTGCTCTTTAGAGAACAGGCTGCAATTCAGTTCAGCTGTGACAGCAAGAAAGATCTGAAATTTTCAAAGGAAGAAATGAAACCTCTCAGACATCCAGGCCTACATTCTCCTCTCAAGGCAATGTCTAAAGACTAGAGAAACAACCACTATGCCCTCCCTTAGCAGACGGTGACTTCTTTCAAATCCTCTTCACAGAGGATGTAGCACACCACAGCCCAGAAGTTCTCAGCCCTGTCTGCACATTAGGATCACCTGGGAAGTTAAAAAAAAAAAAAAAAAAAAAGCCAAGGTCCACGCACATCTCCAGTGATCCTGATGAAAATGTAGAGCCTGGGCATGAGAATTTTTAAAAGGCTCTGTGGACAAACAGTCTGGATTTTACAGCTGTCACTATCTGTTTGACCTTGGGGAAGGGAGTGGAGAATTGGCACCTCATCTTTCTGAGCAAGATGCTGTGGTTCTCACAAAAGAGTCTGTGAACCTGGCTGGGAGTCATAAATCTGAGCATTTTTTTTTCCATGACTGTTTTTTTTCCTCATCTTCAACCCCCTCTGTTCCCCCCACCCGGACCCTTTTTCTTAACTAAACACCTAACTGCATGCAATGTTACTGGACCCTCTAAGCCCTCTAGCCTTTAGAAACTCAAGTATAAGACAAGCACGTCAGATTAGGCTAAAAAAGATAGGCAAATTGAATATAATATAAAAACAATGTTTCTAATGTTTTGTTACCCTTCGAGGACTTTGCACATGCTATTTCCTCTGCATGTAACATCCGTCTTCTAGTTCTTCCTTGAAAATGTTCCCTGAACCCAGCCACTTCTCACACGTCCATCAGGACCACCCTAGAGTCCCAGCCACTATCATCTTGCACCTGGCCCACTGCAAGTCCTCCCATCTGGGCTCTGACCTTCCACTCTAGCCCCTTCCCGCAATCAGTTATCCAAACAGCAGCCAAAGTGATCCTTTAGAGACATAAATCGGATCACTCCACTCCCCTGGCTCAAAATCATGATGAATACCCTAACATTTAAGTAAAGATTCAAAGTCCTGACCTTCATCCCCCAACATCTGACTTTTGAGTACCTCTCCAAGTTCCTCTCACATCACTCGCTCCCTTGCTCACTGCCCTCTAGCCACTGACCTCCTTCCTATAAGTTCCTGGGACTCAGGATGTAAGCTCCTGCCTTTGCTCTTGTACCCCCCTCTGCCTAGAACATTCTTCCCCCAGAAAACCACTTAGCTAGGCTACCTCACTTACTTTATGCAAGTCTCTACACAGACATTACCTCATTGAAGAGGTTTTTCCTGATATCCTAAAGTAGTGGTCCTGCCACTGTCATTATCCTGCTTTATTCTAACACCTATCACTGGCAGATACTTTATTATACAGCTATTTGTTTACTCCTAGTGTCTATATCCCTCATTAGAATGTGAGGTCCCTGAGGGCAGAGTCTGCTGTGTTCCTAGCTGTAGCCCCAGCTCCCGTGACAGTGTCTGGCACACAGCAGGCAGTTGATATTGATTTGTCAAATGACTCTTTGCATGGCTCATTCCTTCTCATTCAAGTCTCAGGCCAGGGAAAGGGTCAAGTCAGGGAACACGTATATGAAAGACCCATGGACAAGGACAATGTGGGGCGGGAGTGGGAGAGAGGGCAGGTGGGCAGGGGAGAGCAATGGGGGGAAAATGGGGACAACTGTAATTGAACAATAAAAAAAGAATTTTTTTTTAAAGTCTCAGGACAAATGTCACCTCAGAAAAGTTGTCTCAGACTACGGGTTAGAAGTAGCACCCGCTCCTTCCCCTTACTCACCCTGGCCCTGTCACTCTCTAAGGCACATCTCTCTCTCTTAAATTGCTTTATGTATTTGGTTTACTTGTTCACTGTCCTCCTATGTACCTCCCAACATCCAGCAGGGACCTGTTGTCCTCTGTGTCCCAGTCCCTAAAACAGTGCCTGCCTCATAGCAAGTCCTCAGTTAATGGTTGCTGGACCAATAATTAAAGTGACTGGAGAGGAAGTTGCAAGCATATACCTAGCTCCTTCTTTCAAATACTCACCTTTTGGACACAGGAATCCACAGCATTAGGAATACGTCCTTCATTTGGATGTTTCCCACTAGGACTTGCCCCTTCTTGTGATGGTGTTTGCACTTGAGGCATTCCGGGTCTCATATTCCTCTCTATTGGATTTTCAGTGGGTTCCAGGAAAATAGTCACAGGTTTGTTGTGAATAAAAATTTGATGATTTTCTTTTTTCAACACTCTGTCCTTAGCTTCATGGAGACATTAAACATACACATACACACAGACATGGGAATGATTTTAAATAATTCTCTTATTCAGGCATCTGTACCTGCCCAAGCACCCTCCCACTAAGGGCTGCTCCCTGCATGCTGGGATGGTGTGTTGGTGATAGAGGATGTTGAGGGAGCTATAGAAAACTCTCAAGTGGGAGCTTCTGTTTTACTGTATAAATGAAAGATCAATAATTATGGAACACTGACAACTCATTAAAAGTCATGTCTCTGAAACTGTTTCAGTTTCCCTTTTCAATCATACGGAATAATACTCACATAAAGTGGATGGAAAAAAACCAGGGAGTGAACAGTGCAGACTCAGAGTTTTATAAATATACATGTGTGTTCACTGAGTCATAGAAAAAGGCTGGAATAAATATACCAAACCGTTCACATTGTTTATCTCCAGGTATCCTTCTTTATTCTTTTATTTTTTTTCTCTTTTCTATGGTGTGCATATATTATTTTTATAATCCTCAAAAATAAATCAATGGAGTTTATTTAAAACAGCAAAGTGTAATACCTAAATGGCAAGGGGGACAGGGGTCTTGGGTACGGTTGGGGGAAAGGTGTTCTCCTCAGAGCTGAGAATGATGAGGCAGGACAAGGATGCTGGAAGGTATCAACCGTAAGGCGCAGGCAAGCTAGGTCGCTCACTCGACACCCCTGGGCTCTATCCTCCATTATGGGCCGCGCCTCTTGGCAGCATGAGGCCCCGGTACCTCTATCCCACCAGACAGTGTCATACTTTATCCCCCCATCTCTCCTGGATCATCTCGCACTGGGTCTGCCTGGAATCCCTCGGGTATGAGCCCCAGGGACGACCTTTGCACCCCCCAACCCCGGGCCTGCGGCTCACCTGCCCTTTCCAGGAACAGCACCATGAAGGTGTCCGGGGTGTGGGGACCCATGGGTCGGACGGTGCATTCCCCGCCGCCCGAGGTCTTCCGGCTCTGGAAGTAGCTTTCCAGCTTCCTATGCAGATTTGGCCGGAGGTTGGGCATAGACACCCGCACGAGCAGCGGGGATGGCGGGCAGGAGTTCGAGGCCATGGCTACCGGCGTCGGGCTGGCGCCGCTGCTCCGGATGTTGCTGGGCCTGGACTGAGGCAGGGGTGCGTCCCGCCCCGCCGCCTGGGGCTGCAAAGTTTCAGTTTCGCTTTCTTTGAGTTTCGCTTTTCCCTCCCCGTTCGGATCAGCGGCAGCGCCGTCCCCTCTCCTCTCCTTGGCGCCGGGTGAGTAGGTCGCGTCTCGCAGTCCCCCGACCGCGGGGCGGAGGGCGACCGACACTCTCTCGTCTCCTCTCGGGTGGGCTTGGGCTTAGGCGGCAGGCGGGCAAGACTCGGCCCCCAGGGCCAGGGCTCCCACGTGAGGATGAAACTGGTCAGGTGATGAAGTCAAAGAAAGTTTCTCCAGAGTTTGTGATTCCTTTCAGCTCTTGTTGTTACTATTCTATGCAGCTAAAATGTAATTCCCATTCTTAATTCAGATTAATGCCTGCATTTTTAAAAATTTTGAAATTGTTCACCCGCTTTATAACCTTTCACCTGTTACCTCCCTCCAGCCCTATCCTTCAGACTGGCTCTTGGGGTTTTTCTGCCGTCATTCCTTGACTTGACCAACGGTATGGACTGCGCTCTGCCCTGTGTACTAGGGACTGCAGATGAGGCCGGAGGCCCCAACCGCACGGGCTCGTAAAGGGAGGTGGAGTTGTGAACAGAGAAGCAAATCTTTTCACTGCTTCCAAGAGGAAGTTTGAAGCAGAATCTTAATGAGAGAGAGAGAGAGAGAGAGGGGGGAGGGAGAGAGAGAGAGAGAGAGAGATAGAGAGAGAGAGAGAGAGAGAGAGAGAGATGGTGGCAGGGAGGGTTTGGGGGAGAGCATCTGAGGCAGGGGGACCATTGTGGTCTGAGGCACACCCGGAGCACTGGGGCTTTGGAGATGAGATGGGTGAGGGAGATGATGGAGGAAGGGGCTAGACCAGTGCTGTCCAGTACGAATATAATGAAACCAAATATCTAATTTAAAAATTTTTATGAGCCATATTTTTAAAAGTATAAACAGATGGAATTAATTTTAATGATGTTATTTAATTCAGTGTATTCTAAATTTAATCATTTATATATCCTAAATTAATCATTAAGCCTGTGATCAATGTTAAAAACTTGTATTTTACACCCTTTTTCTCAAACCGAGTCTTTATGATCCAGTGTTTATCTCACACTTACATCACATCTCTATTGAGACTAGCCGTATTTCAGGAGATCAGAAGCTAGCTGCACGTGGCTATTGGCCCACACTGGACAGACAGTATAGATCTAGATAATGAAAGGTCTTGAAGATCAGTGGGGAGAAATGGAAAGCCTGTGAGCTGGGGAAATAGAGTGACATGTCAAGTGTGCATTTTAGAAAGGTGCTGTTGACAGCCATGGGGAGGACACATTTCCAAGCAGGGATGAATGGACACAGAGAGGCCAGAGATAAGGTTTTTGCACACGACTTGTAAGACTCGAAATAGGTCAGTATTTACGGAGAGCAATTTGACAGTATTATCACAATTACAATTGCACAGACTTTATGATTCTGCAGTTAGGAGTCAAGAGAGCCTTTCACACTTTCTAAATTTGAACCAGTAAACAATGCCTATTCAAACAATAAAATATAAAATTAAATACATTTAAATCTTTAAAAAGAATGTATTGACATAGCTCAGGCAAGAGGCCCTCAGGCCCTGAAGTGAAGTGGTCAATGAGCAAGGAGGGTAGAGGCATAAGTGACTTAGGTGTTTGGACTTAGTTGATGTTTTGGTTATGGGACAAAAGAGAAGAATCTAGATTTATGAGTTGAGTGAATAAATGGTGTACCATTGATTGAACTGGAATCCAGGAGAGAAAGCAAGGATTTTGGAAGGGATTGGGTGAGGGTAGGGAGGTGAATTCAGGCAGAAGTCCTGTAAAGTGAGAAGTAGCAAAAGAACTGAGGGAAGATGGCATAGGAGAAGCCAAGAAAGCAGAGATTTAGGACTCAAAGAATGAAGTAACTATAGAAAAGGGTCAAGTAAAGGTTAGGACAGAAGACCAGGAAGCACAGAGAGTCACAAACAAGATGAATGCAAAGAGGCCCACTCCAAGACACAACATAATTAAAATGCCAAAATTAAAGTTAAGGAGAGAATCTTAAAAGCAGCAAGAGAAAAGCAGTTAGTTATGTACCTATAAGGGTGCCCCCTTAAGCTGGTCAGCTGATTTCGCAGAAGAAACTTTGCTGGCTAGAAGGGATTGGCAAGAAATATTCAAAGTCATGAAAAGCAAGGACCTGCAGCCAAGATTGCTCTACCCAGCAGAGATATCATTTAGAATTGAAGTGCCCTAGATAAAGAGCAAGTGAAAACTAAAGTAATTCATCATCACCAAACCATTATTATATGAAATGTTAAAATGACTTATTTAAGAAAAAGAAGTTCAAAACTATGCACAGTAAAATGGCAATAAATACATACCTATCAACAACTGAATCTAAAAAACAAACTACACAAGAACAGAGAACAATGTTTTGATGGCTGCAAGATGGGAAGGAGGTGTGGAGGAATGGGCAAAAAGGTGAGGGGATTAAGAAGTAGAAATAGGTAATTACAGAGTAGCCATGGGGATGTGAAGTAAGAAATGGAGTAGCCAAAGAACTTACAGGCATGACCCATGGACATGAACAATGGTTAGGGGATTGCCTGAAGGAGTAGCGGGTACTGGGTGTAGGGGGACAAAGGGAGAAAAACTGGGACAACTGTAATAGCATAATCAATAAAATATAATCTAAAAAAAGAGAAAAAAAGATTAGTACAGAAGAGAGTCTACTGGGGTTAACCTCATGGAGGACACTGATGAGCAGTTTCAGAGGATTGCTGGGGGTGAGGCAGGAGCCCGCTACAGTGGGCTGAGCAGGCAGATGGATGGAGGAGAGTCGTCCTATTCATGCTGCCCCTGCAGAGAAAAAACACAGTAGGAACCAGTTATAGAAAATTAGGAAGACTTTTGCTATTATTGGTGTTGTTTTTAAAATGGAAGAGATTGAATATTTTGGGCAATATGCGGCTTGTTTCTAATTTCTCTGGGCTTAACACTTGGCACCGCCCCCTCCCCCCTGCCCCCCGGCCCCCACCCAGTCTATCCCTAGGCCTTTGAAGCCTGGTCTATAGAAAAAAACAAGTGCAACACCATCTAAGGCGAAAGCCCACGGGAAGCCCACCGCCGAAGGCTTCCTTCTTTTGTGAAAACAGTAGTGCCCTCTGGGGGCAAAAATGCATCTTGCCTTCCCACTTTCAAATTGTACTGGATATGCTGCTTTTCCTGGCATGTTAGAATAATAGTGCTCTGATGCTGTAGATAGCCGTACAAAATTTTTCTACTGAAAGGCATTACAAATCATTTCAGAGGCAAATGGCAACTATGTGGGTAGCTAGTGTAGGCTATTGTGGCATCAAGCATTTTCATTTCTACCTCGTTGATGGAACAGTCATTAAAATACTTCTTTCAGTGTTTCTGATTTTTATCCAGATATTCCTCTTTCTTATTAGATCAAGGAATTTACCACAAGCTCAGTATACACATCCTTGACAGGCATAAGTACAGTTCCTTTCTTCAAATACTCTCCAGGATTCTTCATGCTCACTCATGTGGTTTGTTTTTCCTCATTTTATTTTTAATGCCTTGCTCAGTCTTACTACTTGGTATTATTCTCCTCTTCTAACTGTGTAAAAACCTGCTCCATCCTTCAGGGTCTGCTTCTAGTCTCACCTTCTCCGTAAAGCTTTCCCTGCTATAGCCTGATAGCTCTTGGTCATCTCTGAACTGCCGTTATGGTTTCAATTAGAGCCTCTCTGTAAAGGATAGGAGGCAAACAGTAACTACAGCAGTAAAACAATAGTACCTCTTCACCAGTAAAACTAAAAACTACTTAAGATTAGAAATCATCTTTGGTCTTTCTATGGTTTAGTCTTCCCTAAGATCAGGTCAATGCTTATTGTACCCTTTGTATTCATTTATAGGAGTGGGCCACCATATTTTGAGTCCAACAGTCTATGCTCAGAAACACAAAACAGAGTGTGAACATTTAAAGACCCAGAGCCCTGGAGGATGGACTTTCCTAAGGTAAAAGGACTTATATATAAATGCATATGTATATGAACTTTGATCAGCACATGAATAGCTCTTCCTATAACAGCAAGAAATCTGGGTCATCAGTTTGGTTTTAATAGCCCAGCAAAAGTGTTCTCCTCATACCATGTGAAACAAAGGGAATCGAGAATATGCTAATTGAATTAACAGAGGCACCATTAGGATGGATGACTTTTAAAAATGCAATGTCAGTATCATTTTGATTCTGTCTACTCATTCAGCAGGTTTGCTTTTGCAGAATGAGGGGAGGAGGATTATGGAGGATGAATTAAAACTAGGAAACAGAGAAAAGACATCTCATTTGTTTAACCATAAAATTCTACATTCAGGCTCAAGCCATGAAATAGGCAATGGGAAGTGGGTCCTGACTGGTAACTGGGGAGGTGCAGCTGAGGAGGCTGACGTCCCCATGGCTTCTGTTCCGTCTAGGGAAACCCTACAAGCCCTTGGAGATTGGAGGCCTGTCTGAAAGTTTTGGGTCATTTTGGATTGTGACCTTTGGGTCTTTTCAATTGTTAATCTCTAACCCTTGATCTCATTCTGAATTAGAAGTGCACCGATTGGCCTCTAGGAAATGGGATAGGGTCAATGTTTGCTGGAACATTTAGTACTTCAGGTATTTCAGGCACACAGATTAAAAAAAGGAACAAAACACATGTTCCCCTGCCCCCCAAACCCAGAGCTTTTAGCACAGTTTCTTCTGCTTTCTGATTATTACTTTTGTGAGCACTGTATTTGTCTTCAGTAATCTGTAGTCATTCAGTTTCCGTTTTTTTTAAAACAACTCTCATTTTTCACAGGGTGCGGGAGCAGTAGCTTACAATGAGAAAGCAGGTAGGAACACTTCACTCTCGGTCTTGTTTCAGAAGGCCTTTGCTCATATCTGTCCTCAGTGGAAAAGGGGGACCGCAGAAGGAGACTGTCCCCCCTGCAAATGTTCAGGTTCGTGACTGCAGGACCTTGTGGCAACCCGGCGCGTGCCTCAGAAGGGGGACTGCTTGAGAGGCAGTGTGCATCAGCAGGCATGTTCTCTTAGAGTTCCCGCTGATCCTTTCCTTTGCCCACAAGATGTGAGACTTCTGACTGCAGCCCTAGTAACTGGTCAGAAGAGGGGACCCACTGATTGTCCCTTGCTCAGCAAAGGCTGTAAGAGCCAAATGGAACCTGCCTAATCCTAAGGGTGGCCCACTCAAAATTTAAGCACAGGCCAATTGGATCTGGCTACGTAAGTGCTGCTCCTTTTAAATAATTGAAACCACCAGGGGTCTTTCTAGGTGGCTGAGATTAGAAATAGGAGTTGAAGTAAAATATAATTAATTACCATATTTGACCTATTTTAGGATGCACAGTTTTTACCACCTGTGAAATAAAGCTACTCCCTATCAATCAATAATATGCCATAGTTTAATTGGCATTGTTTTTCCTTTCTCAGTAGAATATAATAATGATGTCACTGGTTCCATGAAATACGGTGTCACAGGTTGGCTTCTCAAGGAAGCAGAAACTGAGATGGAGTGAGGAATGCAAAAAGTTTACTGTGAAAGGAAAAGAGGAGAAACCAGGTGGGGCAGGTGGAGCCATCAGATTATAAGAAAAACCTGGCAGAGCTCTGTCAGCCTGAGATTGCCCATTAGGGGAGTCCCCCATTGGACATAAATGGCCTTGATCAGCCAATGATGGGTCTGCCCTCAGAATAGTGTGACTTTGGCTGGAAGTCTGAGAGGGACCTTGAGGGGCTAAGAACTGGAGGCTGTGTGTCAGCTAACTGTATTCCCTCCTTCATAACCACATTGAAGGGGGATCTGAGCAGCTCATCTCCTTATCTGCCACATACAGTAAGTAATTTTTAGTCTACCAGTTTTAATTCCACTAAAATTTTCCCATGAAACTAGAGTATGATGCTCTACCCATTTGCTGGACCATGCCCGCAGAGAGCATCCTTGACTAATGACTGACAGAAGTTGAATGAATATCTTAGCTTCTTTCCCCTTCTGGTGGTATAACTCTGAGACACACTGTTCCCCAGTGGAGTTAAGCTTCATTTGCTTCGTAACACATCCTTTATTCATTCCCTTCCTTTTCCTGTCTTACTTTCCCATTCTGCCCTCCCATCTCATGCCCCTGGTGTTTTCTAGGATCAACTCCCAAATCAACTCAAATCCATATCTCAGAGTCTGCTTCTAAGAGAACCGAGACTAAGGCACAAAGACTAAGCAAACAAGTTATGAATAAAGTCTCCACTTGTTTTTGACTCATATTAAGTCCTTCCCAATATTCATGCCTTAAGCCCAAACTTGCTGTTTTTATGTAGACTTTAAAATTCATGAGTGCCGTACACACATAGTTTTCTTGTCGCCATCACTGTATTGATGTAGCTACCAATTATGGAGTATTTACTAATGCCAAACACAAGACTAAGTAAGCACTTTATGGGCAATTTTCCATTGAAAATTCTTAGATATTCTTGGTCTAATTACATATCGCAGTGAGAAAGAAAACCAGGAAGGGGGCTAGAGGAAGTTCATCTCAGTTTCACATATGGGAAACTCAGTGTCCTGATGTGAAGTGGTATTACATCCTTTTCAAAGGAACCTTTGCTCATTTTTTTCTTTCTTTCTTTCTTTTTTTTATCTTCTCTGTTTTTCCAGAGACTGACATTATTAGAGAAAACTATAGTGGGCAAATACCCATTAATCACAATGACTTCAAAATTTTAAAAAATAATGAGAGTCAACTGTTTGATGTTCTCCAGAATAAATTTGACTGTATCTCTACCCTGGTCTCTCCAGACTGGGAAGGTAACAGCAAGTCTCTGAAAGTCTTCAGAAAAATGCTGACTCCTTTGTTAGAGCTGTCTGTCTGGAAGGATGACCTCACCAGACATGCTGTTGATGTTGTGGTGAATGCAGCCAATGAAGACCTTATGCATGGGGGAGGCCTGGCCCTTGCCCTGGTGAAAGCTGGTGGCCAAGAAATCCAAGAGGAGAGTAGAAGAATGGTTTCTAGTTACGGTAAAATACCACCTGGTGAGATAGCTATCACAGGAGCAGGGAGGCTTCCCTGCAAATTTATTATCCACGCTGTTGGGCCTCGGTGGATGGAGATACATAGGGAGAAATGTATCAATCAGCTGCAAAGCGCCATTTTAAATATTTTGAATTGTGTCACCTCTGCCAGTACATGCATTGAGTCAGTGGCAATTCCAGCCCTGAGCTCTGGGATTTTCCAGTTTCCTCTGGATTTGTGTACACAGATCATTGTAGAAACTATCAGGAATTATTTCGAAGGGATACAACTGACCCAGAATTTAAAAGAAATTCACCTGGTAAGCAATGAGGAGCCTACAGTTGCTGCCTTCAAAACTGCTTCAGAAGGCATACTAAAGGAGAACGAGCTGGGATCCAGGGTGAGTCAAGGAGCCATGCTTCCTTTCAGTACGATGGTTGTGAACAACCTGACTGTCCAGATTGTCCAAGACTTCATTGGATGGCAAGAGGTAAGTCTTTGTATTCTCTTGCACTGCCAATAGGTAGTTAAACCTATCAAGTATGTTTTGAGTGTGTCCTATTTCAAACACTGTTTAATCCTGTTAGGTTAAGAGTATGGACTTTAGAGACAGACCATCTGGATTTGAATACTGGCTTTGCCATTTACTAACTGGGTAATATGAATCCAGTTACTTTATCTTTTGGTTCTCAGTGTCTTCATCTGGAAACTGAGGGTACTAATAACAATATCTTAGAGTTAGAATCAATACACATAAAATGCTTAGAATGGAGCCTGGCACATGATAAGTATTTATGACTATTACTAATATTATTCTTAGGCACCATGCAGAAATAGAACAATCTTTGATTCCAAGGAACTTAAAAATTCATTATACTCTTTTTATGAGAAAACAATACCTATTTGAAGAATCACATTGCTAGACAAACCATCTGAACATTTCTGAAGCAACCTATCAATAGTAAACAAAAAAGTCAATACAAAATGAATTCATAATATTTAAGAGCACGTACATTTATGACAAGAGTGGAATGAATTGAGAAAGATTACTTCAGAAGATGGGAATTTTGGATCTGATCTCAAGTTACAACAGATATGAATTGACAGAAAGAGCAGCCAGGTTGTTAGAATGATCAGAGAGACACAGAGGAATTAATGGATAGAATACAATGAGCTGGACCAGTCAGGAGACTTAGGTGGACCTGTAAGTTATATTCTGAGTATACAGCTCTGTGCCAGCGGCCATGGAATACAAAGTGTGACTTAGCATTTAGCCAGGGTTCCTGAGGCGCAAAGGAGAGGGCCTTGGCAGGGAGGGAGAAAGTCAGGATAACAGTGAACCTAGGTATTTCTGGATTGGTGCAGCTCCTCTGCTAGGCAGAGAGCACCTTGAGGGTGGGCATCATAGCTTGTTCATCTTTGTAGCCCCAGAGCCTGGTCTGGGCATGTGTCTATGTGTTCAGCAAGTTATTGATGAGTGAGGGAAGGGTAATGCAGGGAACAGAGACTGCAACAGAGGAAGAGAGAGAATATAAGGCTATATTTTTTTCTTTTTTCTGGATCAGTGATGTCACATTTAAGACTCTCCTGTGGCCACAATCAAATAGACTTAATCATAAATGAAAACGTACCACTTATTGCCTGCAGGACAATTAGAAAGAAGACTGAGGGAACCCCCACAAAATGAAATATTTATTTGATAAGTCATTAATATGGAAACATAAAAGTGGAAACATCATAGTTGAATAACTTCTTTAATTCAAAAAAGTTTAATTGAAAAACTTTTATTGTATTTATTTATTTCCAAGAACATTAAGAACCTTAAAATTTCCAAATGGAGCCAGTTACCCCAAATTGCAAATTCTGACTGTTCTTTCAAAGTGAAGCATGCATTAATATCTCTGAGAAATATGTAAGGTAACCCCAAAGGGAGCCAAAACCATCAGGATGACTTAGGAGGATTTGGGCATGGTGGGGGAAAAAGGATACAACCATTTAAGCGCAAATCTTAGAGCTAACTATGTGATATTGCTTAAAATACAGCGCATGTATATGTGCAGTCTATTTCTGAGAGGACAGATGAACTGGGAAAAGCGGTTGCCTGTAGGATAGGTGAGTGTGTGAGGGATCTGAGGACCCCACCAAGGTGGAGCCCTACTTTTCACTGAGCCCTTTTTTGGTTCACTTTTGTTTTCTTTAATCATGTACTACTCACCTTTTAATACAAAACAGGAGGTAGAAATTTCCTGAGAAATTTTATTTCTACTCTAAAACAAAATGGAAAATTCACACAAAAATGGCAAAAGGTGATGACAGAGGGGCAGAGAATGAAACTACTCATTAATAAAGCCTAAAATAGCCCTGATCAGTATGGCTCAATTGGTTGGACTTCGTCCCAATGAAGCGAAAGGTCGCCAGTTCCATCCCCAGTCAGGGCACATGCCTGGGTTGTGGGTTTGGTCCCAGGTCGGGGTGCATATGAGAAGGCAGTTGATTGATGTTTCTCACATTGATGTTTCTCTCTCTCTCTTTCTCTCTCCCTCCCTCTCTCTAAAATTAAATTTTCTAATTTTTTTAAAATTAAAGCTTAGAATAAATCAGGGGATGCTCAGAATCTGGGACTATGGGAGGTATAAGCCAACAAGAGGCTGACAGATACTTGCAACAAAAATTGTGTCATCCACGAACTTTACCTAATTACTGAATAGGATAAACAGACTGATCAAATGATCACTCTTTGGAAATACAAGTTTATATCCATTATTAAGTGATATTTTTGTGGATTTGGGATTTCCAAAAGTAATTTTCAAAGCTCTTCAGGGAAGTAAAGATTTAAATTGGTCATTTAACAAAAAGTCATTTAACAGGGAATCCTGTCCATTTTTTTCCCTTTTCAGACGGATGCAGTTGTTAAATTTGAAAATCCAAGTCTTGGTGCTAGAGTTGGTCCTGTATCGGAATCAATTCTACAACAAGCAGATGAAATGGAAGAGAAAATTATCAAAAAAACCCTTCAGGATTCCCAGTTGGTACTGGTCACAAGTACACCTAAATTGCCCCATCAATATGTATTTTATGTGGCGTGGCCTTCAGAATATTCTACACAAGATCTGGTAAGGTCAAAATACATTTATCTTTATGTAGCTTGATAGTCTGTGTAGTCTTTGTTGAATTTCTATCACGTCATTACATTCATGAAATGTTGTCGTGGCATAGTCCCCATTTTCTACCACTCCTGTGAAAATCTGAAATATTGAATAATTCTTGTTGTTTTAATAAGCTATCTTAAGATGTTTAATCTAAAATAATACCTAACACATCTAATTTTTCAAGTGGGTATACCACAAAATAGACACAGAAACATCAGTATGCACACCCGTTCACCTTGCCACGTTGTGACACTGTAGGACTTTTCCTAAATGGGCCTGGGATTCGTCCTCTCCATATTTCTCTCCATCTGTTAAATTCCAGGAAGACCTGGGATTTTGGTTCTAGCATCATTCTAGTCAAATCCATTACCTGTGGTATCCTCCCACCTCTCTTTGCCTATCTTTACTTTGTCACCATTTCTGGTCCTTTCGTGGCTAGAGGGCCCTCTAATCCCAAGTTGGTCTCCCATTCATCCCTACCCTTCAGTTTTCCAAGATCCTTCCACAGACAACCTTCCCGTATTAGTATTCAGTTTAGATGTTGAAATATTGATGCAAAGTTTAAATCTGCCAAGTGTACTAGCACTTCTCAAGGAGAGGTTATATGAGAGACCTTAACAATACTGAATAAATACTGGTTACTTATTTTAACCTCTGCCTACTTTATTAAACTCCCAAGAGCTCTTTATGTTGAACTGGAAGTGGCAGATGAGTGAAGCTAACCTAACTGATGGTTGGCTCTCTGACCTGGGAGAAATCGTGGTGCCCAAATGTCTTGAATAGCACAACAAGGACCACTCGGTTACTTGAGTTTCTTTAGCTCTTTTAGTTTTCATCATTTAACCTTATAGCTGTAAATGGGTTCTCCTTCCTGCCCTCTGAGGAATCATGGACATAGCCTTGAGGGGGAGAGGGGATTAGTGTTGTAAACAACGGGCAGAGTCAAGAGGTAAGCAAAGTCTTATTTTTGACTTGAAGGCTGATCTTAAAATTGTTTGTCCTACAGAGATTGAAAAACATAGTGAAGAAGTGTTTGGAAAAATGCCTTGAGCTAAATATAACTTCCATTTCCTTTCCTGCCCTTGGGGTTGGAAACACTGATTTGGGGAAGTATTTAGCAGCAGAGATTATGTTTGGTGAAGTTTTAATGTTTGCCACACAATATTTTGGAAAACAACTAACTATAAAGTTCGTGATCCTTCCTAAAGAACAAGAGACATATAAGGTAAGTTAATATCTTAGAGATGTCCTACAATTCATTCATTCATTCATTCAACATCTGTTTAGTGTCTCCAATGTAAGACATGGGGCTAGACATGGTGATGTTCTAATTTGGTAAAATTTACTTTTGTAAATCGCCCATCTCAGACCTAGTAAAGAATACCATTGTAGTAGCCATGTTTAACTCACTACTTAGCTTCACTTCTTTCCTTCATTGGTACTTACTCTTCCCCCATCCTTAAAGGTAAGCAACCTCCTAGTTTCAGTGTGGGGTCCTATACTCCTCTCTCTACTTGCTTCTTCTAAGAACACAACTGTTCTTAAACTTCTTCAGAGTCTTATCTTCTGAGCCAACTTCAGACCCGCATTCCCAGCCCTCTCTTATTTCCACATAGATATCTGACTGCCCTCTTAAATCCAACATATTTAATACAAATTCTTTGTCTTTTCCTCTCCAATCAATCAACTTCCTTGGGCAAGTTACTTAACTGTACCTCAGTTGCCTCCGCTTTAATATGGGGATAATAACTACCATCTTATGGAGCAGTTGTGATAATTCAATGAGTTAATACATATAAACACTTAGAGCAGTACCTGGCATACAGTAAGTCCCCCATGAAGGTTAGCTGTTGTATTCGCTGTCATGAGCTACAGTTCACTGAATGCTGCTAAACTGAATACTAAATTAATTGTTATCCTTTTTTCCAATTAGATGGTAAGTTTTTTAACAGCAAGGGTATACCTGATTACTTTTGCCATGTCCCCAATACTGCCCTCAAATTCAATCTATTCTTACTGAACTCACCTGTAGGTGACTTCAGAGGGAAATCAGCTGTGGTCTAACACAAGTGGAGGGATGTGTGTGTAGGAGAGTGTGTGTGTCTCTGTGTCTTAGTGCAGCGATCTTATGCCCAGCTTCTTTAGTTTTCACTTCACCTCAGCTTTTTGTTTGATACTAGCCAGGACAGCTGAGTTTCTTTCATGAGAATAGGTCACTGATGTATTCAGCATAATTAATATATATTGCTATGCTGTTTTGCCTTTAAAGTTCCATCTCTTTATTCTCACTTAGTTGGCATTTTCAAAAAGGACTCTAATGGTGATGTTAAGGAATACTAAAAAAGAAATGAGATGAGACAGCACCATCAACTAGGTTTTGAAGACATAGGTTTCTGATCCTGCCAACAGCAATATCAAAGTGCTAGTGCCACTTCCCAGGCATGTGTCTGGGTTTGGGTGTTAAGGGCCTTCTGAGTTCCTGCCTGGCCCAGAGAGTGGCTGCAAACATTAGTCCTTTTTCATGCCTCCCAGCCTGTCTCTGTGTGGATGGTTGCCATTTTATCTCTTCATACAAGAAAACAAACTTATATTGGTTCTAGCTTGCTCTTTCCTGGAACAAGTGTGAAGGTTCTTATTCCTTTTGCTGTCTGACTAGACACCAGGAAGTGTGTAGTGTTTGCTGATTTCCTCTGCTGACTTCAAACTATCAATGTGACACCACTGGAGGTGCAGTTGAGAAGACGTGTGCATGATGGGCTCTTGCGAGCCAGTGTTAGTCGGCTCCAGCATACCGCTGTGTCTCACCCACAGCTGACCTGCAAGATGGTGGTGAATGACCCAGCGAAATAGTCCGCCTTCTTGACAAAATGAATCATCCTGTCCTTCATGTGAAGTTCACTAGTCCCCCCCAAGTAGAGGACTATAATTGTGCCCATATAGGTGCCCTGAGTATATCTTTGAACGGTTCATGAAGCACTATATCTCTACAAGAGGAATTAACCACATCTAGAAAAGAAGGTTCATTCTTTCCAACCTACAGGCAAAAATGTACAGGGCAGTTCAACAAAAGTAGAAAGATCAACCACAGTCTGAGGTCTCCCCTAGGGGCCAATAATAAAAATAGCTGCCATCTATTGCATCAGCCAGGTACTGTGCTACGAAGCTGTCTTGTACCATTCTCTCCCCAATCCTGTGATGAAGTCACTGTTGTTATCTCTATTTTACAAATGGGAAAACATATTAACCCAGAGGTTAGCACACACACAGCTAGTCAAATGGGCAAACAAAGATTCCAACCTGGGTCTGTCTGCCCCCAAAACCTGTGTTCTGAACCACCAAAGAAAAACAAAAAATAACTTGAGAGATGATATATCTTTCAGTTCCGTAACTCAAAGGAGAGGACTATCTAATGCAGTAACTTACATTATACCCTGACATTGACCCCTCAAGCTTCAAGCTTTTCAATATCAACACTATGTTATATCTGTGTGGAAGTATGATGTGTGTGCATGCATATGTATACCCTCTGGCCTTCTGATAAACATATCTTTTCTTCCTGAAAAAGTCTTTCAATGAGGGATGTGTGTTCAGAAAGATCAGAGGGCAGTTTACATATTTCTTCACAGAGGACATTACCTTGGCAAGTCCCTACACTTCAGAAAATGGATGAGTCAGATGTCCAGAGTTGACCTGACACAGGAAGAGCAACTTACACTGACCTCACAATAAGGTGATACCTATATTTGCATACTTGTGAATTTTTCAATTCATGAATGACAGTAAATAACTCCTCAGCTAACTGAAATACTTCACCAGCATTTCAGGGTGATAAGTGTCCTGGCTGGAGCTGAGTATCTGTAAAAGTGGATGGATAGTCATTCATTTGGTTTTTTAACAAATATTTATTGCGTATTTACCTTGTGCCAGGCACTGTGTCTCAAAATAAGGAACACCTCTCCAGGAACACATTACTGACATCCTTCACGTTAGGTGTTGGGCATTTGTGGACAGAGCTGGAAAAACTGCCAAATTCTTGCCATATAGAGCCACTTTTCCAAACCTTGCAGACCACCTGCTTGTTATCCATACATTCTTCTAAGTTACTGATACTGATTAAGTTACAGTCTTCCAAATTCAATTCAAAAGCCTTACCTAATTGATTTTTCACCCTGCAACACATCCTGACATTTAAAGTGACTTTGGGAGAGAGCTGATTTTTATCCAGCTTTCATATAGCAGTTATTCTTAGTCGATTTATCAGTTAATAATATTATTTCATTTGTTTTGTTTCCAAGTTCTTATATGGGGAGCACAGGGAAGTTCCCTGTAATGACCTCTCCAGGGACTAAATCTGTTAAGATGGAGAGCTTCTTGGTCTGGAAAAAGCAGTTGCATTTTTTTCATAAATTGTATTTATGAAAAAAAAAGTCCTAAAGATTAAGAAATTTTATTGTTAAAGTTCAGATGCAAAGCAAAATCTAGTTTTCACCTCAGTATTTATCATCTTTACAATGAAGTAATTACTGCCAATTGTATCAACTTTAAAAAAGGAAGACACTGGATATGGTGGTTCCAAATCTTAAGAGAGATGAGTTTTTTTGTTTTTTTGTTTTTTTGTTTTTATTTTTATTTATAAATCATGTTTATTCTATTATAGTTATCTCTATTTTTTCCCCCTTTATCCCTCTCCACCCATCCCATCCCAACCCCCCGCTCTCACAATCAATTCCCACTCTGTGGTCCATGTCCATGGGTCATTCATACATGTTCTTTGTCTAGTCCCTTCCCCTTCTTTCCACCATTGTCCTCTTTCCCCATCCCCTCTGGTCACTTTCAATCTGCTCCATGTTTCCATGCCTGTGGTTTATTTTGTTTGATAGTTTATTTTGTTGAATAGAGTCCACTTATAGGTGAGATCATATGGTATTTGTCTTTGATCAACTGGTTTATTTCACTTAGCTTAATATTCTCCAGTTCCATCCATGTTGTTGCAAAAGGTAGGAGTTAGAGATGAGTTTTTAAAATAGACAAATCTTTATCCATAAACTTTCATATAATAATAATTACAGCAATAGCTAACATATTGAATATTAACTGTGTCAGATGCAATTAGGAATTGATCATTTATTCATTCTACAGAAAAAGCATTGTGTCTAACACTTTTAAAAATGAAGTTGTTTTATTAATTACAAATATAAAGAACATCTGCCTTTATATTTGTCTTTGGTGCCATATCCACAGCTCCAGTTCAGTGCCTAATGGGCAATAAGTGGGACATTAATATCTTTTGAATGAGTGAGTCAATGAATGAATGAATGAAGGAATGTTAATGTTTTGCCTTGGAATATACTTCTTTTTTATGCCAGAGTTTGGTTTTCCTTCAATATTTCCTATACTTGTTTTCCCTACATGTTCTAATAGATTGTGGTACTGCACTTGCTGTTCCCCTCAGAGTGGATGAGGTCAAGTGTGGTGTGTGAAGGTAGAGGGAGGGATTTTGATACCAATGGCTAAAAGCTCTATTCTGCTTTGCTTTTTGTAGGCTTTCAGTACTGTAATGGAGAAGAGTAAGTCCAAGCAGCAGCCTTTCAACAGTTACAGTGGTAAGAAATTCATGGGTGAGAAGCAGTATCTCCCACCCTAGGCTCATTCTATTCTTGATCATCTAAACTAACTGAGGGAAGAAGAATAAAGAAGCTAAATATATTTCATTGTGCTCCTGCCTAGATACCAGCCTGCTCTGTACCTGACCATGTCTCAGTCCAGTTTTATATGAACAGAGCAAGGCTAAGTTGCATTAAGTAATCCACAGTGTGGATAGTTCATTTATAAATGTTGTCTATAATTTTTTTCTAAGAAAATGTTCTGCCCTTCACAAGCTGACTTGACCAGCACTCTTTCTGCTCTGAATGAGCAAACGTCTAATGGAGCTACTCTTTAATAATTACAGAAAACACATCTGTAATACCAGATAACAGTAAGTGTATTAACCCAGTGCTACCCAAATCTAGTAATCACTGAGATCATGATTGAAACGTTTTAAAAAGCAAACAAAAACCAAACAAACAAATGTATGTATAAGGCCCAACTCTACAGATTCTGATTCAGGAACTCTGGGTCTGGGCCAAGCATTTATGTTTTTCAGTGCCCCTTAATCATGCTACTGAACCAGTTTGGACATCACATAAACCAATGCTCATTGTTAGGAGGTGGAAAATGTTTAACTTTGTCTTATAACTACATTCCTTTAGTGGAATTTGAGTGGACTGAGATGGAATTGCCTCATGACAACTAGGTTGTGTACATCTGATTGTGTACATCTGAAATAGTCTTTTAATCTAAAGTATTCTGTAGATGTTAAGAATGCTAGACATTTAACCAGCAATAGAAATTGTTTGTATATGTCCCATTAGGGTCAAAATTATTTGTTTATACTTTTTATTGGAGAGTTCAGTTATGAATGTTCAGTGGCCCAGCAGTGCTGGAAATGAAGGAGGAACTTTAAGAGCTCTGATCTGTGACTGTGCCTCTTACAAACCTGTATGTATATGTGTGTGTGTGTGTGTGTGTGTGTATATCTATATATCTCTATATATCTATAGAGATATATATCTGTAAAATGATAATGACATACTGTTGCAAGGGTAGAGATTATGTATGTAAAAATATTCTGTAAATTGCAAAGCATTAAATAAATACCAGGGGGCAAATAATGAATGAGAGAATGGACAGACTCCCCAGGTAGCTAAGAGATGGGAAAGACTGCAAGGGGTTAAGGATGGCTTCATGGATGAGATGGTTCCAAACTTGGCTTTGAGGGTGCTGAGATCTTCAAAAGCCAGAGTTGGTGGGGTGGGGCACCTAAGGTAAAGAAAACTCATTGAAGCAAACATATGCAGTGCATGTTTGGAGAAACGCAATGAATCAAGAGAGGCTGGATAAGAGGATTTTGGGGTGAGGATAATATGGAAAAGAAACATACAAATATCTCTATGTCATCAATCTGAATAATAGGGCCAGACATTAACATTTATTTCAGTAATTCTTGAGGACATCTGTAAAGGAAGTATAGATTGACATTAATAGTGACAAATGATGATGCTCTCAGATTACCATTTGAGATGAATAATGATGAATGATGATGATCTCAGATTATCAAGGAAAAGTTAGACTATTACATATTATAGATATTATTAATGATGTTACTAATAGTGAGTGGTGATGATCTCAGATTATCAAGTTAGACTACTTAGGAACATAATGTGGTTCCATTAGAAATATTTAACTAATAGTTAAAATTAAATGTTCTGATGTTAGAAAAATATCCCATAGTGATCTGAACAATGTAGTTACCCAGAAGAACAGTTCTTTCCTGATGATGATGGATAAATGAATTATCACCATGTATTGTTTTTATTTTCTCCTAAAAAGTAATATAAGCCCCCAAACAGAACGAGGTTTAAAAGAAAAAGGCATGTCTTTAAGAACCCCTCCCCACACACACCCACACATACACACACTTCTAAAAAATAAAACATTGGGTTTTTTTCGCTCAGAGGAAGGCCATCCTCCCCCTCTCCTAGGTCTGTCCTGATACTTTTTCATAGTTCCCGGTACCTCCCAACTACTATATTAGGTGAAAGATGCTAATTACCACTATTGTCCTGGGATCGCTTACTGGGAGGCAGAATTGTGTGAGCAATAGACTGCCCACATCTACTAGCTCCCTGGCCACCATTTACTAGTGCTCAAACCCTGGGCAAGTTACTTAATAATTCTGAATTAGTTTCCTCATTTGTAAGACAGGGCTAGTAATAGTACCTGTCTCATTGGGTTGTGAGGATTGAATAAAATATGTAAAGCACTGAGATCAATGTTTAAAACATAGTAAGTGCTCAACTTGATTTTTCCTCTCAAAATATATTACTGAGATTCATCTATGTAACTAAAGTTCTCCACTTTTCATTGCTATATTAATATTCCATTGCTGAAGGACATGGGTTATTTCCAGTTCTTGGCTGTTACAAACAACAAGAATGTGAACTTTCTTGTAAATGCCCCCTGATACACGTGTGCCAAAGTTTCTTTAAATAATATAATTCTAGGAGTGGTTGCTTCAATTTTACATCTATCATGAATACATGTGAGTTCCAATTGCTCTATGTCTTTCCCAACGCTTGAGATGGTCAGGCTTATGAATTTCTGCCAGTCTGGTGGGTAATTTTTCATACTGCTGGTTACTAATGGGGAGGAACATCTTTTCACACATATATGGGCCATTTGTGTTTCCTCTTCTGTGAATTCTTTTGCCCAGCTGGCTACTGGGTTGTTTCTTTTTCTTAATGATTTGAAGGAATTCTTTATATATTTTAGATACTAGCTCACCTATGAATTCTCTCTCAGCTAGTCCATCCTCCTTCTCCCCTCCCTTTTTTTTCAATTTGGTTTCATAGCCGTCCTAATCCATCAGAGATTCTTCTTTATATATATCTTTACTCCTTGGAGCGGGGTTGTAGAAAGAGGTATGTGTGGGTGGGTTGGAACCAAGTTGCATTTCCTTTTCTGCTGGGATATATATACTATGTCAAGCAGCAGGAGCTGCTAAGGCCGCGAGGCTTGTTGTGGAGGTACACAATGCCCTGTCACACACACATGTAAGATACAAATAGGAATCCTGGGTATTGGAATTATTGGTATTTCCTTCTTTCACTATACTTTGATAATTTTCCTAGTTTGCAGTAATAAACAAGTATTATTTTATAATCAAATACATTTTAAAAAGAATTTTTACTCTTCAAGCTGTATGGCTTTCAAAGATGTTTGATTTTGAACCTGGGATTAGCAAGCGGTTAAGGAAAATCCCATGCAGGAGGAAATAATAGTTGGGCAACATCCAGAGTGAAATCATAAGGTCAACTCACCTGTGAATTGATAAATGCAAGACAGCAGAGGGCAAGACGTGATAAAGCCAACCCCTTACAAGCTAAACTCTGTATTCTCGAGGAAACTACAAACTACCATTAGCTTTCTTTTATAACCAGCACAGCTTTCAGAAATATTACTTAATTGAAGCTGCTTCATCAGACAGTGGTGACAATATCCTGGGGTGAACACTGGCCAGGGTGTACTGCTATGCTGTGGTTTAAAACCCACCTGTCTTCTGTAGTTGCTTATGATTGCCTTTTTCAGTCCCTCAGGGGACCAGAGAGAACCAAGAGCATGGGCTAAAAGCTAAATCTCCAGCCATCAATCTGATGGGATCTAAATGGGAAAAGATACAGGAGGCCCAAGAGTGGATCCAAAGGATATTGACCCACCAGGACCAGCACATCATTGAAAATAATCACATCCTCTACCTTGGGAAAAAGGAACATGACATTTTGTCTCAGCTTCAGGCAGCCTCAAAGGTCTCTATCTCAGAGATTATTACTCCAAGAAAGGCAACTTTAGAGATTAAAGGAGCCCAGGCTGACCTCATTGAGGTGGTTATGAAGATTGAAAAAATGCTGTGTGAAGTTCAAGAGGAAATGGCAAGAAAAAAGGAGCAAGCTCTTTGGAGCTTGTCAAGTGAGTAACTTTCTATTTAGCTGGAAATCAGCCCTCCCAACTGTCCTTTTGGGTGTGATTATGTTTGTCTGTGTGTGGGTAAGAGATAGAATGGGGGAGAGAAAGCAAACCATGTAGGTTCTGTGTTAGGCCATAAACTTTTGTAACCATTTTGGGGTTGTTTCTATCAACTGGGTTAATTATTAGTAAATTCACACACACACACACACACACACAGTTGGATTTACTTATGGTGACATGGATTGCCTTAAGAGGCGGTTATGGGGAAAGCCTAGGGTAACTCTCTTCCAGGTGATGGGGAAAAGTACACCTTTAATTCTGCAGATGGAGCATTCAAATGTACACATTCCACTTGATTAATTAATTTCTTGAATTGAGTACTATTGCATTTATTTGTTGCTGGCAGCCTTAGGAACCCTAAAATTACTTCTTTTGAGCATTCTCACCACTGTAAATTATTAATTGGTATTGTTACGTACTCAAGTATCACCCATTTTGTGGGGCAAAACCCATCAGGATAACTAGAAATGAGGGTCTGGGGGGATTATTTTAACATAGCCTGAGAGCTATGTTAAAGTAGGGAATTATAGCAATTGAAAACACCACCTTAGGAGACAGAGGCTTATTTCATTCATTTCTTCAACTAATGATTATTGCATCCATGATATGTAACAAGCATTGTTCTAGGTGCTAGGGAGACAGCATGAAAATGAACACTCTTCACTGAAAATGTAATTGGGGATACCAAGAAGCATGCAGGGTTAGTTGTAAAAGAGAAGGGTGAAAGTGTTCTGAGAGTACCCAGGAGAGGCACCCAACCCAGCCTTGGCGAGGTCTGGGAAGTGCTTCTCAGAGGAGGCATCATAAATGTAGAACTGAAGAATGAGGAGAAGTTAGTAAGGCAAAGAAAGAAACTTTTACGAGATCAGACGATAGTGGTGCCTAGATTATGCAAGACTATATAGATCACATGAAAGAATTCAGAGTTTTTCTTAAAACCAATGAAGAGACTTAAAGGGTTTTAAGCAAAGATGAGGTCAGACTTGTCTTTTAGAAAGATCACTGGTTGTAATGTGGAGAATGGATTTAGTACAGAAATTCAGATGCAAAATTTAAAAGGACACCATATTTTCACTGTGTTTATAAAAATAACTTAGGCAGAAATGGTCAAAGTGAGTGGGAGTTCGCGTAAATATTGTATCCACATTCCACAGAAAATAGTGTCCAAAAACATGGACAAAAATAATACACAAAAATGAGACCCAAGATTATGATTTCTACTTAGCTTTTGAAGTGTTATATCTGTAGATATGTAAACTGACACTGATACTTCTCAAGACGAGACAAAAAAACATTGATCTTCTATAAAGCTTGTGGCAGTACTTTAACTGCATTTATAAGATTGACCCATCCTCCCAGCTACTGGCAACTTAGTTATGTAAGTCCCTTGTTCTACTGCAAGGTGGCTTTTTTAATGGCTGATGACTAAGCATACTATTCCACAGCAGCATTTTAGAGGTTCATACAGACTCCTTCTCTCTTAATCAGATTAAGATCATCACTAACAAAATGGATAAATTTGAAATGAGCTGTTATTACAGGGAACATCAACTATCCATCAGAATGATAAAATTAAAATAATAGAAATTAGGCTTCTCCTCTCTTTTAATCCTTCCTGGTGAGCTCTTCTGATAGCAGGAGCTTGTGAGTTTTTGAGTCTCCAGTGCCCTGCCAATGCCTGGCATACAGTAGAAGCTCAACAAATGTTTGCTGAACTCAGGTCAACTGAATTTAACACTGTATTTCATACATGTAAGCGATTGCTCTCCAGATTTAATTTATAGTCTCTTCCTTTGAAAATTTCTGCCTGTGGAGTTCCTTTGCTGTGGAGTTTTGTCCCTCCTGCCTTCAAGATTTACAATTTGACCCTCTAACGAGTTTCTCTGGATTTATCATCTTCTTTTTGTCATTAAATTCAGCCCGCTCAATTAGATAATGTGCTGGGGATGAGGTCATTTTAGTATACTTGGTCTCAAGTCAAACTCAAACTGAATGAAAGTAAGCCTTTAGGGGAATTTCCATTTTGCCCACCTGTATATTTAGTCCAATAAGGAGCTCCTTTCAACAATAACAGGTGTCCCTTGAATTTAAAAAGGAAAGGGAAGATGTTAAAGGAGAAAGGAAGGAAAAAAAAGGAGGAAAGATATGACAGTTTCCTCCTAATCTCCAAATTTTGCTCTTCATGGTTGGGTGGTGGCATATGAGTGACATATATACCAAATATTCTGCCCTGCCCCTTACAAAAAGCGCTGGTGAAAGCCAGGTGTATAATCTTGGATCTCTCTACTTGTTATCCATGTGATGCTAGGCAAGTCACTTAAGTCTCTGCGTTTTAATTTCCTTATTTGTAAAATTGTGTTAATTATTTCAGTGGTGGTGTTGTAATGCTCAAATGAGATAGAGATATGAAATCTCTTTGAAAACCTTGATGTATTATATACATGGCTCATTCTTTTCCATAATTCCTTAATGTTTTCTTATGCCTTATTGTTGATGGGCATCTTGACTGGAAATAGAAACATTTCCTATGAACAACAAAATTATGTATCATCATTACAGCATTAATGGGGGAGTATATATTAATGCCCTTTTTTTCTCATCCCCTCAGCCTCATAATCCAAATCATTGGAGGACAAACTTATTAATCCTCTATTTTATCTTATGACAGCTCTCCCTGAATGTCCTAAACACATGAGGCATGCAATTTAAACTGGCCAATTTATTCCTCTAAATTTCCGTAATGTGTTTCATTGAATTTCTTTATAAACATGTTCCCTCTCACAGACCACTGAAAAAAAGTTTTGTGTTATTCACTTTTAGGACAATGGACTGATCAGCTACCAGAACACCAAGATGAAATGAAAGAAAACACGTTTCTGAAATGTCTAATGCTTTCAACTCCAGAAATTCAGGATCAAAAAAGACAGTTTGAAAACTGTGGTTTGCAGGTTATACAGGTATACATAATTAAGGGAAAGATTTGACCTATCTTGCTATTAATTCATTTGGTTCTGTAGCCAAAAGAAAATCTCACCTGCTAATGGCTCTAACCTGGCTGCTTATTTGACTAGGAGTCTGAGAGATAAGACTGAGAGGAGGCCACAATGGGCAGGTACCAGGGTACAGTTGGAATCAGGAGGTGGAAATGATGTTCGGATACACAGAGCAGAGATCAGGACTCAGTAAAAAGCTGCCTATCTTGATACAAAATAAAAGAACTGAAATAGCAGTTATCACACTGCATTTTTATAATTATTTATCTATTTTTATCTCTCACTAAACTGAGCTTTAAGAGGGCAAAGATGATGTCTCCATTGTTGACCATTTTATTACCAGTGCCTACACATAGTGTTTGCTTAATACTTTTTTATTTAATGAATTTATCAAAGAAGGGACAGGGAATTTTGGAGAGATAGAGCCAGACTACGAGAGGGTTGGGGCCAAGAAACACTCTTTTGCAACTGGATATGAAAAGCAAATTGCATGCAAAGTAATATGTACATAAGTGCCTTTATTTTTGAAGCAGTATATCAAGCAATTTAAGTAGCAACTCTGCAGTCCCTTTTTCAGTTTTTCATTCCCTTGGCTTCTAGGTAGAGAAGATAGACAATGTGGTTCTCATGGCTGCCTTCCAAAGAAAGAAGAAGATGATGGAAGAGAGAATTCATGGGAAACCTGTGAGCCACAGGTTGTTTCAGCAAGTCCCGCAGCAGTTCTGTGAAGTGGTCTGCAGAGTTGGCTTTCAAAGAATGTACTCGGTGCCCCAAGGTAGGTATCAGCCCCTCATTATTGGGGCTACTATGTATGGGAATTGGTGAGCAGACATCAACAGGTGACTCACCACACGTACCATTTGTTGCTGTGGTGAAGGGATCATTTGCAATTAGGATTTAGTGCTTAAAACCTTTGGAAAAGGTCATATTTTTAATTTTTCCTTCATATATTTTGTTGCTGATGAGCTTTATGTTGATGAAAGTATTAGCAGTAAAATGTACAATTCACTAGTTTTCTCTTTTCTCTATTTATGTCTAATCTTCAGAGTACCTTGGAGCTTTTCTTTCCTTCTTTTTCTTGCTTATCTCAAGAAAATTATCAACACTACCAAAGCTAATCCCTTAATAAAAAGGGCATTTCCCTGAATTTAATAATGTGGGTCTTTTCTCATTCATCCTCTTCATTTCCTGTAGCCTGCTAGTGAATGAATTAGATTTCATCTGGCAGGTGAAGTGAATAACATCTTAAGATCCTTCTCAGCTATCGGAGTTCTGTGTGTAGCTTCCACATCTCTTTTCAGCTGTACAAAAATATAGCATACCTCCTTGCTATATTGTCTTCTGTAGATCTCTTCAAAAGAGGCCAAGATGTTCTGTAATTGTCATAGGGGATACCTAGTAACGCAACTTGATCTTGCCTGATCCGTGAAGTCTGCGGCTCTTGATCTTTGCCTTTCAAAACACAGGGTGGGGCAAAAGTAGGTTTACATTTGTGAGTACATGAAACAGAGTTTATTCTTGTATTATTATTTATTAATTATTGTATTATTTTCCATATGAGCAACTGTAAACCCACTTTTGTCCCACCCTATACAGAACATGATACTTGCTATAGCGCCAACTCCCAGTCTTGGTTTCTGGAAAACAAAGGGTCTGAAAAATAATTTTCTCTTTACTCCAGAGAGAACATAAGCAATACCTAGGGTAAAAATTGAACATGCACAATCCATGGGGGTAAAAATTGATCAATGAATCCCCACCAAGAAGTCTTTGAGTGTAATCAGGAAAATGATGATCAGTATGGCGCTTTCATTAGCAGTCCTAAAAATTCATAACTTCTTTTGCTCTTAAATCATTGTAACTGGCTTCTCTGCACTCCATTCCCCCCACCACCTCCACACACACATCACCACCTTCTACTTAAACGACTATAAAATTGTTATTATGCTCCAATTTCCCAAATCCAACAAGTGCCCTCTTTTCAGCCCTGTGGCAGACAATGCTAATTGCCTATCCAACAGCTGTAACCTGCTACCTCTCTCCTGACCTGCAGGTCCATATTTCAAACTGTCTTGGACATTTCTACCTAAAAGTCCCATAGGCACCTCAAACTGAACTCTTTTCTTAGCCATATTTTTTTCCTAAGACACAGGCTTTTTCTTTTCGTTTTTCCTGATAACTCCCTAACCTGGCTGATATCATCTGTCAGGTCTTTTAAGATGGAAACTTTATCACCCTCCATTCCTTCTTTTCTCTCTGTCTTATATCCAGGCAGTCACACAGTTCTAGACATTCTCTCTCAGTAATATTCTCTGCACAGCCTCACCTTTCTATTCCTACTGCCTTAGCTCACCTTCCCCGAAGCCTAGATGATTACCAGGTACTTTCTTTGCCTCAAAACCACCTCTGTCTAACCTACCCTTTCTTTTCCACCAGAATTATTATGCTAAAAATTCCATGCCTATTTAATACCTGCATTTCTAATTGTCTACAAGGTAAAAACCTAAACTCCTTAGCAGAGCACGCAAGGCCTTAGCCCCACATTATTTCACCAGCCTCACTACTCACTATGTTCCTTGACACTCTAGCAATGAACTTCTTAAGAGTTTCCTGAACATGCTGTATGCTCTCATGCCTCTGTGCCTTTGCATGCAAAATGCCTTCCCTACCCACCATTTTTAGCCCTGCAAATTGCTATTCCTTCTTCAAGATACAGCTCAAATAGCATCTCCTGGTTGACACCTTCCCCAACTCCTGCAGGCCCAGTGAGTTGCTTATTCCTCTGTGTTCCTGCATTCCCTCCATTCCTTTGTTACAGCCTCTGTAACTCTACCAAGTACAAAAATTTACAATCCTACAAAACTCAGGTGTGAGGCTTTTTTACCTTATGGTTGTATAACTGAACTTTACCTAGCTTTCATGCTCCCAAGGCCACAGATGTGGAAAACTCCATCTTGACAGTTCAAGATGAACTCAGTCATTTTCAGAGTTTTCTTAGTCCTTTCTGAGATTAGACTCAGTTTCTGCAAGATTTTGCCTTTAGTTCTCCTCCTCACAGAGCGCTCGTGATGGGACAGGCACTGGAGGGAGGGTGGTCTGGTTCATGACCCTCATCCAACCTCTGCCTCTCAGTGTCCTGTGCTAAATAAACCACCCTGGACTTTGGTCATTAATATCCTGTTGTACTTAAATTTCCAGTTTTCTCTACTTCTAGGTTCTGTCTACACAGGGCACTCTGTTTTTCATGTCAAGGGAATTCCTTTCCAGGCTATGTTTGTGCCCCTCCTACATTGCAGAAAATGTTTGAGTGTACACATCTTACAAGCTGAAATGTGGGGTGTTGTGTGGTAGCCCTCACCTGTTCTGAAAATCTTTCCAAGCCTTGCTACTTTCCACTCATTTGCCAGGCTGGATGATGGGGCTATACCCAGTGGAGTCAATTATCCCTTCTACTCTGGAAGTCCCCCCAGTTTTTCTGAGGTTTCTATTGTTCTTCACCATCTTGACTCCCATGGCTCTCTTGAGAAGTGAGCCCCTTCTCAGACTCCTCAAGAGCTCTAGTCATGTCCTCTCTGATTCTTCTCTTCCCATGAGGTGCAAGGGAGAACTTCCACTTACCTTGAAGTGGAAAAACTGCTCTTAGGGTATCTTGTATTATTCTCTTCTCTGTTATATATGGTACAAAATCCATGCTGTGAATTTTTCAGGCTTTTATCCTCTTGGTTCAAAAAACTCTTTTCCTAACTCAGCAAATCTAACTTTGAAGGCCATACTTTCAAGACCATATTCTCTACTTTGATTAAAAATAATTATATATTATATGTGACCTGTACATACAATATATGTGTATAGTCAGTCGATTTTGTTCTAAGCTTTATTCTTTTTGCCCCGAGGTAATAAGTAGCAAGAAACGAAGAGCAAGAAGAAACTTCCAGGAAAAAATCTTTTATTTTTATCTCAAAATATTTCCTTATCACATAAAATTACACTCTATTTTATCTGTTTATATGTGGGGAGTTCCCTTTGTGAACTTTTGATAGTAGGGATCATGTCTTAGTCCTTTCTGAAGCTCTAGAGCTGTACTGTCCAGTATGGTAGCTACTAGCCAGCCACATGTGACTGTTGACCACTTGAAATGTGGTTAATCTGAAATGAGATATGCTCTAAGTGTAAAATACACACTGTATTTTAAAGACCACTACCAAAGAAAAAATATAAAATATCTTCTTAATAACTTTTATATTGATTACATGTTGAAATGATAACAGTTGGATATGATAAGTTAAATAAATTTATTATTAAATTCATTTCACCTGTTTCTTTTTACCTTTTTTAATGTGGCTGCCAGAGAACTTAAAATTGCATGTGTGGCTTACATTACACCTCTATTAATTAATGCTGCTCTAGAGCCTGAAACAATGTTTGGTTAAGTCCCAAGTAAATGTAAGGAAAGGAAGAGGGAGGTGAGGGAGGAAAGGAATGAGGAACAGAAGGAAGGAAGGAAGGAAGGAAGGAAACTATATTTAAATGTAAGCTATTACTGTATTGATGATATCAGTGATAATTTGTCTCAGGGGAACAACTTTGGGTGCCTTTGCTGCAGACACAGGGACTTGGGACCAGGAAGTGGGGAATATTTGGAGGACTAGATAGAGAATATATATTAGTACCCAAATTGGCAATATGAATCTCCAGATCATAATAATAGTTTAATTTTTTTTCTTTTATCAGACCCAAAGTATGGAGCTGGCATATATTTCACCAAGAACCTCAGAAGCCTAGCATACCAGATCAAGAAAACACCTGCCACAGATAAGCTGATCTACATATTTGAGGCTGAAGTACTCACAGGCGCCTTCTCTGAGGGTCATCCGTTAGATATTGTTCCCCCACCATTGAGTCCTGTAGACATAGATAAACTTGACAGTGTGGTTGACAACATCTCCAGGCCTGACACTTTTGTTATTTTTAATGGTGTGCAGGCCATGCCCCAGTATTTGTGGACTTGTTCATCAAAACCAATGATGCTGCCTCTACAGAACTATTGGAAGAAATCCTTAAGAGACAGTTCTGTGGATTAACCTCCATGTCATTTTAACAACTGACATGGCCTTGCTTTGGAGGAACAACTAGTAATGTCCATCAATGACTCAAAGGGTGGTTTGAATGTGCCAGATGGGTTGTCTGTATGCACTGATTAGGTTATTGAAAGGACCAGATATATACCACTAGCATCTTAGTCTTTATCTCTTTGGGCCGGGATAGATATATACCAACTAAAATACTTTCAGGATCACCCCTGTCCTTCAAGTTGTCCTTTTACCTCCTTTACTATAGGTAATAGCAAAAATGTTTTACATAACATGAAGAAATTTTTCTAGTATATAATCCAAGCCTTTTACTTTCTAAAATGATTATAGTGTAACATATTAGGACAGCAGGATGGTTTTCCAGAGAATCTTATACAGTACTTTAGATATAAAAATAAATCACCTTTGCTTTGAAAAATTATGTGTAAAATGAAATTATTTGAAGTGGAAGGACATCAAAAGGCTGATATTCCACTGATAACCTATGTGGATTCAGCCATATTGAGCAATCCACTCAAGTACAGCTAGGCCAAATTATTAGTTTACCAAATATTTCTTGACCACCAGATGTGTCTCAGTCACTTTCTAGGAAATGGGAATATGATGCTGGACATGACAAATGTCTTCATAAAGCTTCCAGCCTGATTAATTAGAAAGGCAGCTATGGACAACTTAACAAGTAGATTAAGTATAACAAATGAGGAATTGCAGATTCCTTGGGAAACCGTAAGGGGGAGAAGGATCAGGGGCTGGAGGCGGGGCGTGAGCAGACCTTCTTAAGAAAGTAAAACTCAGGCAGAGACCTGAAGAATTTATAGGAGTTAGGCAACCAAGACGCAACAAATAGGGAGCAGAGTCTGAAGAGTATACAGAGAGAATACCTCTTATAAAGGTTAAATCCACTGTGACTGTGCCCAAATTTGACTTAAGCTCTGTAGCATAGAGGCCAGCTAATCTTACTGTGCACCTCTTACCTATTCTGAAATCTATATTTCTCTATACTTCCAAACTTTTCTGGCCCTCATATCCTCAACCTCTTGCATGAACACATTTTTTCACCTCATCTCACTGTAACAAGCATTCGTCCTCTTTAAAGAAGCATGTTTATTGTCTCATGTGCTACTGCCCTTGGAAATGGGTAAGAGGACTCCACTGTGCCTTCTTCCAGCTGTGCCCATCTCTACAGAGTGAGGAGTCCACAGGATCAATGTACACACCTCACTCCTCAACCACCCAGTAGATGCCTGGAACCCCCCAAACTTCCTGCCTAAACGGCTCTATGTCTACTTACAGGACCTGATTGGGCCTCTTTCTTGGGTCTCTCCTCCCAAGAGTGGGTTATGCCACACTCTGCATCAAGAATGGCCTCAGGGTGACTGTTAGCAGGGATGGGGCTTGGACTTGAGGCTGAGGTATCCATGCTTGTGGATGAGGTCTGTGGCACAGAGCTGAGAGTGACAGGACAGCTTTGAAGGACCTATCATATGTTTAATAGGGATTTCCAAAGAGAATGGAAGAGAAGCAATATTCACAAGGATAAGAACGAAAGAAAATCCATAACAAGAAACAGTGAAACTGTAGACCACCAAAGAAGCGATCTTAACAGTAGCCAGAGAGAACAGCCAAATCATCTACAAAGCAATGACAGTTAGACTGACAGTCTTGTGGTAGGCAGAAAAATGTCCTCCCTTGTTCATGGCAAAGATAGCCACACTTCAGTCTGAATCTGAATATGTCACCTTACATTGCAAAAGGAATTTTGCAGGTGTTTTTAAGACTACTCTTCAGATGGGAAGATTTGCCAGATTATTCAGGTGGGCCCAATCTAATCACATTAGTCTTCAAAAGTAGAAACCTTTCCTAGCTATGGTTCAGACAATCAAAAACTGAATTACCAAAAATAGACTCTCATTTAAGAAACTTAAAATTTAAAGGATATACCTCAGGAAGAAGGGGTAAAAAACAAAAATCTAAGCTGCAAAAAGGCACAATGAGCAAAGAAATGGTAAGTATGGATGCATGTTAAACAATCATTGTCTTCATAAAACAGTAGTAATAAGAATGTCTAATTTTGGGAATAAAATAAGATTGAAATAAAATATTGACAAAGGAACCATGTAAAAATGGTGGAGTGATCACTATAATTAATGGGGTTTAAAGTCCTAGTGTTGTGTCCTGACTGGGTAGCTCAGTTGGTTAGAGCGTCATCCTGATATATGAAGATTGAGGGTTTGATACAAGAAGCAATCAATGAAACGTGTAAGTAGAACACCAGATCGATCTCTCTCTCTCCGCCCCCCCTTCCTCTCTCCCTAAAATCAATAAATAAAATTTTAAAAAAAGAAAGTCTTTGTGTTGTTCAAGAGAAGATTGGAGTTAAGTTTCTTATACAGATTAAAATTTAAGGGAGGCCACTATAAGAGAAACAAAGTATTAACGTCTCAATAGTAGACCAAAAAGAGGGAATTTAAAAAAAAAAAAAAAGAAAACAGCTGGAGTCCCTGGCTGGTGTGGCTCAGGGGACCGCACTCTGAGGTTCTCCAACTTATAGCACCAGAGCCCAAAAAGTACACAGATAACATCCAGCTGCAAAAAGTGGCAGTGTTGCTCTCTGCCAGAGACAGATGGCTGGGGACTCAAAGAGCCTTTTAAAGGGCCAATGCATAAATTTTTATTTGCAGCCACTTACCTTGGTCTCCAGCAAAGGCAGGGCAGAGTGGGCTGGAGACGCCTGAGGAGAGACTAGGGAAGGAGGCTTTGGGGAGAGAACTGAGAGAGTAGCCAGGGGGATCCCGGTGCTGACCATTCCCCCATACGGCAGCAGCCATCTGGCTCAGGCAGACCACTCCCCTGAGCAGCAGCACGAGAGGACCCAATAACCCTGCCCTCCCCTGTGGTGCCTAATCCTGACTGCTGAGTGCAGAGTGACTAGATTAACAGCTGAAGGAGATAGCCACAGACAGTAGATTGCTGGAAGTCTCCAACAGACCTTCTGATGAGGTAAGACAGGGTCAACATCTGACATCATCAGAGGCAGATCCAGAAAGAAAAGACAGTGGTTGCCTACCATAGAAGTTCATACCACAAAGTCGGGAAATCAAGACAGATCAATTTAAGAAGCAGAAGCAAAAGGTAAGAGCCCCACAAATAATGGGAAGACAAAGAAACACCACTCAGTCAAAGGGAAAGGAGGAATCCCCAGAAAGAGAACTAAATGAAATATAGGCAAGTCAACTATCAGATACTGAGTTCCAAACAATGGTTCTAAGGAGGCTCGAAGAACTCAGTGAGTTCAGAGAGAATTACAAAAAAATACAGGGAAACTATGAGGAACTTACTGCAAACTATATCAGCATGAAAAAGGACATAGAAACTATCAATAAGAAACAAGGAGAAATTAAGAATACAATTTCTGAATTGGAGAACACAATAGAGGAATCAAAAGCAGGCTAGATGAAGCAGAGGATCGAATCAGTGAGCTGGAGGATAAGGTAGAAAACACCCAGAAAGAGCCAGAAAATGAAAAAAGACTGAAAAAGAATGAAGAGGAGTTTAGGGTAATGTAGGACAACCTGAAATGTAATAATATCAGTAAAACAGGGATACCGGAAGGAGAAGAAGGTGAGGAAGGGATAGAGAACCTATTTGAAAAAGTAATGATGGAAAACTTCCTAATTTGAGGAGAGAAAAAAGTCACACAAGTCCAGGAAGCACAGAGGGTCCCAATGAGGAATCCATTCAAGAGGAACGCAATGAGGCCCACTCCAAGGCACATCCTAATTAAAATGGCAAATATCAAAGACTAACAGAGAATCTTAAAGAAAGCAAGGAAGAAATAGGTAGTAACATAGAAGGGACCCCCGCCGCCCCCAAAACAGATAACAGCTGACTTCTCAACAGAAACACTACAAGCCAGAAGGGAATGGCAAGAAATATTCCAAGTCATGAAAAGCAAAGGCCTGCCACCAAGACTGCTCTACCCAGCAAGGCTCTCAAAATGGAAGGCGAAATAAGGAGTTTCCCAGACAAAAGAAGGCTAAAAGAATGCATCTCCACCAAACCAGCATTGCAAGATATGCTAAAGGGACTGCTTTAAGATGATGAAAAGGAGGCTATGAACACTCAGTTCCTTTCACGGTCCCCTACTTGATATTACCAATATTTTTAATACTTATTAATCTGTGACCTATGATGTGTTATTTGAATTGTTCCTTTATTATTTGTTGAAACTAAACCTGTTTTTGTATATTTCTTGCCTATTTCTATTATTTTTAAAAGCTTTCAATGACTTTTTGGTATTCTTTATCCATTTTTTTGACTAAATGTTTGTAAAATATTTTCCTTAAAAAAAAAAAAGAACTATTAACCCTTTTTTAGATGTTGCAAATACCTTCCTATTCTATTACTTGTCCTTTAACTTTTTTTTATAGGTGTATTACTATATGGTTTTAAATGTTTAATATAGTCATATTGCCAATATTTTATGGCTTCAGGTTTTGAGTATTTTACTTTAGGGTAATAAAAATATTATTTTGAATTTTCTCCAAAAACTCCTTAGATTTTACATATTGATTTTTAATTCACCTGAATTTTTTTTGTTTAATGTGTGAAATGGGGTTCTATATTTGTTTTATTTAAGTGGTCCATGCACCTTATTTGTTGAATAAACCTTATTTTCCCCATTGATTTGAAAGATCAATTTAAGCATATATTACATTGTTAGATAGATATTTATGTTTGTTTCTAGAATGCTCATTTTATATCATTGATCTACTTGATTATTTCTGTGCTGGTGTCATGTTGGCTTAATTGCTGAGACTTTATAATGGATGTAAATTTTTTAATATTTTATAATGGATTTTGACATTTAAAAAAATAAGTAAATAAAGTCAATCTGCATTTAAAAAAAAAAAAGAAAGAAGGAACTCCTACCTTTTGCAACAACATGGATGGAATTGGAGAATATTATGCTCAGTTAAATAAGCCAGTCGATGAAAGGCAAATCCCATATGATCTCACCTATAAGTGGACTCTACTCAACAAAATAAACCACAGGCATGTAAACATGGAGCAGACTGAAAGTGGCCTGAGGGGATGGGGAGGAATGTCAATGGTGGAAAGAAGGGGAAGGAACTAGACAAAGAACATGCATGAATGACCCATGGACATGGACAACGGAGTGGGAATTGACTGCGGGAGCAGGGATGGGACGTGGGATGGGTGGAGGAGGGCAAAGGGGGGAAAATTGAGACAGCTGTAATAGAATAAATATAATTTAAAAAAATTCAACTACATACTGTTTACAAAACATAAAAAAGCATCAAAGCACTGAAAGGTTGAAAATAGAAAGATAGAAATATAATTAGCAAACACTAGATGAAAGCTGGTATAGCTTTATTAATAACAAGAAAATAGACCTTAAATTAATGAATGTTATTAGGAATGACTTCTGATAATAACAAGAGTCAGTTAACCTTATGCTATTAATAAGATAGCCCCAAACTATATAAAGCAAAAATTGATAGAATTATAGGCAAAACAGACAACTCCACTATCATCGAGATTTAACACAGCTCTAAGTAACTAGTAGATCAGTAGTAAAGAAAAAAAATTAGACTATAGAAAATTTGAACAACACAATTTTTAGCTAATGTACAATATTAAAACTCTTCACTCAGTAATTAGATTATACACCTTCTTCTCAATTATACACTAAACATTTATGTATACTGACCATATTCGAAGTTCAACAATTTTAAAGACATTTTTAGTTGGACCATGTTCTCTGACTATAATCCATGGCGCAATTAACTTAGAAATCAATAAAAAAAAATAGTTATAAAATGCCTCGGCCAGTGTCATTCAGTGGATTGAATGCTGGACTGCAAACCAAAAGCTTGTGGATTTGATTCCCAGTCAGGGCGCATGCCGGTGTTGCAGGCCAGGTTCTTGGTCAGGGGCTTGTGAGAGGCAACCGATTGATATACCTCTCACGCACTGATATCTCTCTCTCTTTCTCCTCTTTTCCCTTCTCTCTAAAAGTGAATAAATTTAAAAGTGTTTAAAATAACTTAAAAATAAGTGGAAATTAGCTGTACACTTCAAAATAACACTTCATGGGTCATGAAAATGTAACAAATTAGAAAATATTTAGATTTTGACAGTGAAGATATTACTAATAGTTGTGACATAAAACTAAAATAGTGCTTAAATTATTCATAACTGTAAAGCTTATATGAAAAAATAAAGGCAGAGGTTAACCAGTAAGCATCCAACTTAAAAAAAGAAAATCAGAATGAACTTGAGGAATAAACACAGAAAATAAGGAAATAGAAGAAAACACAACAGAGAAGTAATAAAGCGAATAGCTATTTCTTTGTAAAGATTCAAAACATAGACAAATCTTTGGTAAGGCTGATGACAAACAAAACAAAACAGGAAATGGTACAAATAAAGATTCTGAGGACTAAAAAGAGGATATAACTAAACTGTATTAGAGACCTAAAGGTTTTAAGGTAATACTAAAAAAAAATTTGTGCTAATAAGTAGAAAATTAGACAAAATGTAGTTTTTTCTTAGCACAATAGAACTTACCAAAATTGAAGAAATAGAAATATGAATTTTTAAATATGTATAAAATAAGTTGAATTAGTAATTGAAAATTTACCTGCCAAGTAAACAAGTAAATTCAACAGGTTAAAATGATTTTACTAGTGACATTTATGCAAATAGATGCACAAATCTTAATAAAAATATTAACAAATATAATGAAGCTCTTTATAAATAAATAAATTGTGGTCAGTTTGGTTTTACCTCAGAAATGCAAAGATAACTTTAGAAAAATCCATTAATGTAACCCACCATATAAACACAGTTGACCCTTGAACAACTCAGGGGTTAGGACACCAGCTTCCTGGCACAGTTGAAAATCATCATATAACTTGACTCCCCAAAGACTTAAGTTGTTTTTAGGTACCCACCAGGGATTGTTTCCAGGGCCCCCATGGATACTAAAATTTGTGGATTCTCAATGTCGTAGATCAATGGATAGTTGGCCCTCCACGTCTGAGGACTCCCAACTGCAGATGGAATACATTACAGGTATTTATTGAAAAAAATCTGTACATAAGTGGGCCCATGCAGTTCAAACCCATATTGTTCGGGGTCAAATGTCTATTAAAGGGTATGCTCATTTCAATACATAGAGAAAAGTCATTCAATAAACAATTCATAAAAGGATGTCTACCAAAACCTAGAGCAAACGTTA